AAAATAAAAACAACAACTCACAAGCAAAAAACCAGAACAAGACTCCCTCATCCAAACCCTCGCATCCCAAAATGCCTCCCAAAACGAATCCCTCAACCGCATCCTCATCGCCCTCCCGCTCCTCTCAACAATCGCCTACCTCCGCCCGCTCTTCAACCCCGCCACCACAACCTTCGCAGTATTCTGTCTCACATCCCTCCTCGCCACGGCGTTTCTGCTGTATAAACTACCTCCCACCGAGACGGGCATCGGCGTGATCGATGCTTGGGCCGGTGGATCGAGAGCCGATCCGTCAACGAGATTCCAGCTGCGCAGCTCTCTTAGGGGGATTGACGCTGGCAGAGGTGTGCTCGGCCGTGCGCCCGTCGAAATGCGGTCTCCTTTGGAAAGGACGCTGCCGTATTTGAACCTTGGTCTGGTCGTTTTGCTTGTCCTCATGGGCTTGGTAAGAGGAGATGAAAGAGGAGGCGGATTCGGCTGGGTCAGCATGGGCAACGTGCCGGGCCTCGTCTACTCCGTTGCCATAACAGCAAAGATTGTCATGGCCGGCGTAGACCCAGAGAAAGAATTGACAGGTCTCAAGTACGGCTACAAAGGTGCTTGACGGAAAGACTTTTTACAACTATGTATATATATTTATATAATGATTACAAAAAAACCAAAAATGGGCAACCACGGCCGCCTTTGTAATAACCGAGGAAAAGACAGTAACAGATCTCTTTGTTTCTCTTTTGTTTCCACAACCCATGCCCAACAAAGTCACCGAATTTTGACGGCATGTTCACGCCCAAGATTCACGCCCCAACCCAAATAAAAAGACCCGCATCGTCTACATGTCTATAGAATCATTAAAGCGTAAAATACCATGACTTCTCAAAATTCCGTCGACACCCTTGGGTGGCCGAGGGAAAGGATCCACAAGAGGGCTCGCTTCAGGGGTATCAGAAGACTTGTCCATCACGAGGGCAAGTCCATGCGATTTGACAGCATCAACCAGCGCCGGCACCATATCCTGTTTGACAGGGTTAGCTATCTGTGAGAGAAAAAGAAGGGAAAGAGAAAAGGAAAGGGACAAGGGAAGTATAATCTTACCAGCAGCCTTGAATAACATATCAGACCCATAAAGTTATTCGTCTGTGCAATCCGCACCGCCTCCTTAATCGACGTCGTCCGCCTTCCGTTGACCACTGTCTTCTCGTCCCGGCCCAAGTCATTGCACAAAAATACTGGAAAGTTGGGCTGTTTCCAGTTGAGAGCAGTACATAGTCGTGCGTTGTAACTGCTAAACACCATGGAACGCACGACGTGTGACGAGTGGGACTGTGCCCTCTGAGCACGGGCATGGTCGAAGACAATCGTGAGGATCGAATCAACATAGACGTTGACGTCAAGAGCCGGGCCTAATGCCAGTGTCTCTTCCTCCTCGACAGTGGGATATACAATCTGCAGATTGACGTGGATGCCTGGAGGGAGGATAGCCAGCGCGTCCTTTAGCGTTATTCCTGCAGTTGCCAAGATGTGGTAAATTTCGGCAATGTCATCCGCCGTCTTGGTTGCTAGGCCCGCGAGCTGAGCACGGCTGGCAGTTTGGGAGGTGATGGCGTCGAACTGCGCAAATGAAAGTCTGCAAACGGGAATATCAAGCCCGCCGCATGAAATCGTCCACTGCGGCCAGATAACGGGCACCCCATCGCTCGTGTACTGGACGAAGACTCGGACATAGTCGCCAGATAGACTTGATCCGGTCACAATGGCGTTAGTAGGCTGGTTAAACTGGCTTGTTGCCTTCCAGTACGTCTCAAAGTCCGTAATTTCAAGAGGCTGTCCCCTGAACGGCTTAATCACCTGCGTGTTGAAGGTGATTTGGCCGATGGCTCGTAACCGCGGGTCAAAGAGCGGCAGGCAAGATTTCGAGCTACCTGACTGGTTCAGGAATACAGACGGTAGCACCACCGTCTTTGCAATCGTCTTGGCGCCATACGCCGGGAAAACATCAAAGTCCAGTGAAAAAGTCTTGAGGTTATCAACTTGGAAAGAAACAATACGGGTATCTTCTTGAAACGGCAAAATGATATTCTTGGGGATAAGATCGGAAACCTTGGAGGAGATCGTCAACCGAGCAGCCGGGTATTTGCCATCCTGGAAGAAAACCAGCGGTTGCTCGCCCGAGTCCTGGAAGCTGAGTTGCACCACCGTCTTGGTATCGAGGAAGTTGTGGCCATATCGTCGAAGAGGAATGATTGGTGGGGGCAACTCCAGGATCGGGATGGCATCCGGATCCAGTGACATTGGTAAGGGAGCATTGCTGCTGCCTATAATATCAATCGTAGGCTGGCCTCCCAACGGGCTTGCTTTCGGACGCTTGTTGAACGGGGTAAGAAGCTGCATGCACTCCAAGTGGCCCTCCCAAGCGGCATAGTACATGGCGGGTAGGTCCTTTTCATCTCGAATTGTCGCATCGACACCAATCTTGAGCAGTGCTTGAAGACATTCGACTTTTCCTTCACTAGCAGCATGTAGCAACGGTGTCCATCCATACAGCTTGTCGACTTGATCGAGGTCAGCTCCATATTGCTTCAAGAGCAGGAGCAAATCCGAAGTCCGACCACATCGGGCCACCAGGTGCTGAGGATACAGTCCCTCGGCATCAGGGAGGATATTTGCACCATGTTTCAACAATATTTCGACAATAGCGACTGAGCCATGCTCGCAGGCAAGGTTCAGAGGCACGTGGTCTGCGTCAGATACAGGGTCGATACGAGCCGATCTGGCGAGAAGGCGCTCGACACACTCAACATGGCCATGAATAATGGCATGTATCAGTGGCGTGAAGTTGTCATGATCGATAAGGTCAATAGTGCTGGGGTTGGCTATTTTAAAATCAAATGTTAGCTTCATAGCCCGCCAAACCAGTTGCTCTAAAAATTTCAACCTACCATTTAACAAAGTTTCCAACATATCCAGGCGACCGTGCAAACTAGCATAGTGCAGCGGCACGCGTCCGTAAACGTCGGTTCGATCCACGGCCACTTTAGCCTCGAGACCCCATTCCAAGACGTGCTGTCTACCGTAGATGGCAGCCTGGTGTAGGCAATTCCGCTCGTTGATGTCATCGTAGGAATGCAAGTCCACCAGTCCGGTATCCAAAAGAACCTGCAAAGCACTCTTAGGAGCTTCATTGATCGCCGTCAAGAAGGTTCTTGTCAGCCTCTCCATCAAAGAAACATCGCTCTCGCTGGCCTGGGAGGCCGATTGCATCTTTGCAAGCAGGTCTTTTATCGATTCGAGGTTTCCGGTAATGACGGTATCCAACAACAGCGTATCGGCATCTCCTTCATCGGTTCCCACGAAATGTTGGCTTGTCACAACATGCGCAGTAGACGAATCGAAGTTGACCTGAATTCCATCAGACCACGCACCAAGCTCCTGAAGGCTGGTGGTGGCCTGGTCTGACAATTCGCTAATGACCGTCGCATTGAAAAATGGTTGGACCTCGACGGCACGGGAGAGATATAGCTCTTTTGTCTTGGACTTGGACGTCTTATCCCATTTCTTGAGAATCTTTGAAAAGGCGGTGCCATTGATCTCAACAAACTGTTGAAGCTTATTCAAGTCCGTGGCGAATTGTTGGAATCCTTCTTCGAGAGTGGTGAATTTGGACGACCGTCTTGAAATGCCCTGGCGCGACTGAAGGACTTTTTTCTTATCGAGCAACGTCTTGAGGCGGATTTTGAGCTACGCAATAGGTTGGCGATGGCATTTTTCATACGGTGAGGGTAGAGTTTGATATACATACCTCGGCTTCCTTTTGCAGATAGAAGGCATTCACCTTGTCCAGCTCTCGCTCCTGTTCAGGCGTCAGCAAGTCCGTCGGGATGTTCATCATGGTGACCGCATGGGACTGTGGCTTACCAATTGAAAGAAGAAAGTTGCCTTGTTTGCTTGCAGAGCAGCCTGCGAGTCGGCAAGTGTGGCTAGGCGGTGGCCGTCATTTTGTGCAGCAAGGGTCGGAGTAGCTGAAAGCTTCTTGATGAGCTGGAGGGCAAATAAGGTCAAGTATTAGCCAAGTGTGGTACAAGATACAGTAATGGATGGTGTACAAAGTGCGCCAAGTATGCCAGTGGCTGGGGAGAAACCAGAGGGTGCAGGCATGCAAGGACAAGGATGCCTGGAGCGGGTTTGACACTTCCCCCCTCTATTAACCTCCATCACCTCCGGTCTTCTCGAGCAGCACAAGGGAGAATGCGAAATGAGGGCACTTCAAGGAGGGGGGGAAGATCAAAGAGGGGGAAAGGGTGTGGGTAGCCGTGTGATATAGCAGTAATGGGTAGATGGATAGATGGATAATTACCTTCTTCAAGGCCTTGTAGTTGACAAAACTGGCAGCATATTCGGGAACCTCAAGCTGGCGCTTCTGGATCTGCTTGCCAAATTTCCTGCGGCACATAGCTATGTGAGCTTGGGGGGATTATTCCCGGGGCAGGCAGGGGTTGCGTCACGACGCAGCACCCATCTGACTTACATATTGCGACACAGAACCCCCGGGCGGACGGGAGTCGCGGGGGAAGAGGAGTTAAGGAAATGGAAAAGCCCAAGCTGGGCAGAACAAGAAAGGATATACTGGCCAACGCAGCAGCACGGGCTACAATCTCACGCCTGTAAGCTTTCTTTGGGTGACGACAAGTTTGGTGGTAAGATGTGGTGGGCGGCGGCGCCTGTAAGAACGACACTGCTGTGACATTTAGCTGCGTGTGCGACAAGCAACGTTTGTTCTCCATGACAGCCATATCGACGGGAAAGGACGGAGGTGGCCGAGGGCAGAGAGCAGGGGTAGTTTGAGTGCCAGACTGCCAGACTCCAACACTTGTCCGCGTGGGGGGAACGATTGACTGATGGACGTCGGCAGCTCGCTGACAAGCCCAAGGGAACCCATCAGACAGCAGCTCCGGCGCGGCTCGTACCTTGAAGCCCTTGTCCCGCTGTGGCAGCAAGCGGAGGTCGGTTCTCTGCTTCCGGGATAGTTTGGGATGCAGGTTGAGGCCGAGAGGAGTAAGAACGCCGGGATTGTAGCAGACTGGCTATGCAAGACAACGCAAGGTGTAATGTGTGGTGATGCAGCAGTGGATAAGGCTTTTTTGATGCTACTCTGGAGTGCAAAAAGAAAGGCTGTCAAGGGGGAGCAAAAGCTTGTTACGTACAGGAAGAGACGAGGTGGAAAATGACTCCCGTTGCCTGGCCTCAGACTGAGATTTTCAATCACGAGGACGCCAACCAGCAGCAGCAGCAGCAAAGTTAAGTGGTTAGCCTAGCCTACCTGGACTTGTCTCGAGGAGGCCGGTGTACAGAATAGGCTGGTGAATCAGAAGATCAGTCCAGCAGATAGAAGGTGACGAGGCTGGGCTGACGGGGCTGGCTTCGTGTCTGCGTGTCTGTCCAGCCTGTTAGTCAGAATGTCTCGTGTCGATTCGATCCAATTGGAGAGGAGGGGAGAGAAGGAGGTCGACAGAAGCGTGTGCTCGGTGAGGGCAAGGACAAGAGATGAGACTGAGTGAGTGAGTGCCTGACTAGCTGGTCCTTGGTCCTAAGGCTCTTGGTCCTTGACTCCGAGCCCAGTGAAAATGCCACTTCTCCCTCTCACTGAGAAGTACTTGTAAGGTGACCTGTGAAGCGGGGGCGACTCATCAGAGCCCTCGTCCTACCTAGATCATCGCGAAGCTAGTCGATAAACCCCGTGGCAGCTGTAACTTCAACGCCTTAGCACCGCGAGAAGGTCGCTCTGCAGAATCGACCAGGGTTGCTCATGCGGCGTTGAGCCTTCTGGCGGGCCGTGGTACCGACTTGGCCCCCCGAAAAGTAGCGCCGGCGATTAACCGGGTCGCATCTCTGGGCTGTGTCTTGCCTTGCTTGCCCATACAAAGTGTAGCAAAGTATAACAAAGTTGTGTTAGTGCCCTAACACCAGCTGCTTTGGCTGCAGACTTTTGCATCCAAAAGCATTTGCTCGGGGCCCCTCCATTGGGCTGCATTTGTAGGGATGTTTTGCCGGATCTGCTAACTAACATCGTCCCCGTTGTTTATACCGGACCCAATCGCCGTCCAGCATTGCACCTCGTGCGTGAGCGATAGGTGCAGTCGGTTTAAGCGCAGCCCATGCGGCAGCCCTTTGCTCACTTGACTTTTCCAGCTCGTGCCCTCGTTGCCGCCACTCGGCTTCCAATGTTCCGCACCAAGGGCGCATTAGGTAAGTTGCGAAGTTGTAACCTTAAAGAGAAATGCTACGATTTCGGACGCCCGCATTGCGGTTGAAGTGCCTAAAAGCTATAAATGCAGCTACGGGGTTGAGGACTAAAGTATTAACCTACTGTATTAATCAGGCCACTCAGGCTGATGATATATGACCTCCTACCTAGGTACCTAACTTGACGGTGTCGTTAGTCATAGTACTGCTTTCTGCCCACTGTTTCTACCTGATATTGATCCAATACTATTATCGCCAGTTGCTTCTGATATCTGGAAACATACCAAGGTAACTACATCTCTCGATACCTCGGCATCTATTGGCCACCTTACCTTGAATTGAAACTTCAAGTTGGAGGTACATGAATATCCTAGAATGGCAACCAAGCTGGGGGTACCATTCCCGCAAAGTTCCCACCCAACCCATTGAACATTCTCCACACATACGAGCTACTTATTCCATGATATGAATCGAGCATCTCCTTGGATGGCCAAGTATATTCTTAGGTACTAGGTATTAACCGCTGCTAGCAACCTGTCATGACGCAGAAGAACTGCCCCAGTCTCGTCATGCACTTCATTCAATCCAGCAAAATGTCACGGCCACTCCTGTCAACCACTCCCCAAGATCGGCTGAAGCGATGTAACATCATCGCAATAAGTTACCAATTTGAACAGCTACTACTTTTCGTCGCCGCAATCAACAAGGCAAATATTTTTTGAAACACATAAAAACAGCCACGCCATTGGTTACGTTAAGGTAATTAAATCCCGTCCCATCTTCACCAGCCATTGAGGTGTTTAGCTCTTCTTTCCGCTCGCTTCCCCGTCTTTCTTTTGATCGACCAGGTTCTCTGCCATGGCCTCGGCCGCAGCCTGCTTCAGCCGCTCGGTATCGTCCAACTTGCCCTCTTTGGGCTTCTCCTTCGTCTCCCTTTCATCTTCGCTGTCACCAAGGCTGAAGGGGTCGTTGTCGGTAATCGGATCCGGCTCTACGCTAGAGAGAGGCTGCCACTTGCTTGCCTTGGCTGCTGGCGCTGCCGCAGCTTCGCCCTTGGGAGAGAGCTTTGGTGAAGCATCATACATCTTAATCTCTTCGGGCTCATCCTTGAACCCCACTCTTCGGCCCTCGGGTCGCGGTGAGGTTGAGGGAGGTGGTCTGTAAACGCCGGTGTTGGCCATCGGTCGGCTGCCGTAGGCAGGGGCTATAAGGTGCAATCGTCAGCCTTTGCGTGGTTATCAGCGTGACATCTCGATACTTACTGCCGTCCGGTGCGAACTTCATGCCAGCAAAATCATCGCTAAGCACCTGCGGATCTGCGTCATAGTCGGTGCTCCTGCTGCTAGGCCCGCCGTGGCGGTACTGGGGTCCTTCTCTATGCTCGGCATCCTCGCTCTCGTCGAAATTCTCCTCGATCTTCTTCTTTATAGTGCTGATCCAACCGTTAACCTTGGTCTGGGTCTCGATGAATCCCTGTCGAAGGTTTTCGCGGATGGCGGGGAGATCGTCATCTATGAAGTTGCGCTCCCGCTCCTCGTCGTATCCAGGCTGTGCTCTCGCTCGTACATTTCCCCCGCGGTTTGAAGTGCGGGCTTCGTAGGCGCCGACGTTATCGTATTGTTCCGCCAACTGACGCGCGTACCGCTCATCCTCTTCTATCTGAGATCGCTGCGGCCTCGGAGGCTGTTGAGGGGGGACGTCCTGTGGCTCGTTCTTGGCCGCATCTGGGTCGGTCATTTCTGTTTGCCTAGTAAGCATGCGCTCTCGAATGTGATTCCAGTATCCTCGTTGCGCGCAACGGCGCAACGGCGTAACAACGCACCAAGTAGAGCATTAAAGGCGGGCTCCACGCGCCCTCCACTTGCGCTCAAGACCGCCTTGATAACATTATCGTCGACAGTCGGAAACGCTTCCTTCAGAATGATCTGGTTCTTCTGCGCCTCGGTCATGGGGCGCGGGGGCTTTGGCGGAGGGGTTGGACCCTCCGAGCTTTGTCTCGAGCCGAGCATTGGTGATACGTTCCCGTCGCCTATGATGCCAGTCTCTTGCTCATCATCTGACATATCAAGCGGTTGCGCGGTAGTAGGCGATTCGGCGCCTGAGTCCGTCACTTTATTCTGCGCAGTCGCACCACTAGCATCAGCATCGCAAGCTCTCGCCACTAACAAGCTGTCACGGAAAGTGGATTCATATATACCGTCTCTGCGGGAGCTGACATTCTGCGTCTGTATTTCGCCCGCGCGCGCCGATAGGGATCAAGGTTATCGATTTCTCGTGTGATTTCGCTTATAACTGAGGGCTTCAGGAATCTGATTTCGCTTCTGGCTCGGGCTCTCCGTTGCGATTATGACGGAGGGGTTTGAAGCTAGCCACGACGCTGATGACGCGCCCCACCGAAATAAAGGAGCTCGGGGTCTTGAAATCAGGCGTGTCAAAGCCACAGCGCCACAGTGTGGCTGAGCGCTAACTTCCTGATATGCTACAGGGTAAGGCAGCACGACGAATTCTCTTAAGGAAACAAACAAACAATGGCCGAATATTGAAGAAATTCCGAAGCTTGGCCATGGAAATTTGAGAAATGTATTGAATTCTGCTTCAACCCGCGTCTTTAAATAATGCAATTCCTCCCGCTTCTTGATAAGTGGGAAAGCATAAGATGCTTAAGCTGAAACGGGCGTCAAACAAGATCAACCTCTCAAACTAGCTGCTTACTTCTCACCATATGCAACCGGCATAAAACTTCACCATGGCCGAACTTGACCTTGACTCGACATTCATCCCCGCGCTACACAAACCCTCGGCATTACTCCCCATAGCAAAACATCGCGATAGCTTACTCTATGTCGTCGAGACGTTCCCCGTCACCATCGTCATCGGCCAAACTGGTTCTGGCAAAAGCACACAGATCCCCCAGTTCCTCGAACGGGCCGGATGGTGCTCAGATGGAAAGATTATTGGGGTGACGCAGGTAAGCATTTGCTCCTACACGAAGTTGCTTCATATGAGGACTCTCATTGACATTGATAAATTAGCCGCGTCGCGTAGCCGCCACAACAGTTGCCCTGCGGGTTGCTGACGAAGTAGGGTGTGAGATTGGCAAAGAAGTTGGATATTCCATCCGCTTTGAGGATGTCACTTCGTCTTCTACCCGCATCAAGTTCTTGACTGACGCGCTTCTTATTCGAGAGGCGTTGGCTGATCCCCTATTGAGCCGGTATTCTGTCATCATGGTTGACGAGGCTCACGAGCGCTCCATTAGCACTGATATCTTGCTTGGCCTGTTGAAAAAGATTCGTAAGAAGCGGCCTGAGCTCCGAATCATTGTGAGCAGCGCGACTATCCAGGCCGAGGAGTTTTTTGACTTTTTTACAAAAGGATCAGGGCAAGAAACAAAAAAAGAACAACCTGGCGAGTCGTCAAATGATGCTGTTACGATTGTAAGCCTCGAGGGACGAACATATCCCATTGATACTCTATATCTAGAGTCTCCGGCGGAAGACTATGTCGAGAAGGCGGTGAATACAGTTTTCGACATCCACACACAAGAGGGTGAAGGCGATATCCTGGTCTTCTTGACGGGCCGTGAGGAGATTGACAACGCTATCCAAGCTGTAGCCGAGAGAGCCACCCAGCTGGATGGCCGACACGGGCCTCTGCAGCCACTGCCGCTTTATGCCGGGCTGTCAACGGAGCAGCAAATGTACGTGTTTGATAAGCCGCCGGAGGGGACACGGAAGGTTGTCTTTTCGACAAATATCGCCGAGGCCTCGGTCACAATTGACGGCATAGTCCATGTCATAGACTGTGGTTTCGTCAAGCTACGGGCCTATAACCCGAAAACGGGCATAGAGACGCTCACAACCACGCCTATATCAAAAGCATCTGCCTCTCAACGAGCAGGGCGTGCAGGTCGTACAAAGCCCGGGAAATGCTACCGCCTTTACACTGAAGATGCTTACCAGACGCTACCGGAAACCAACCCTCCGGAAATACAGAGGTCGAACCTAGCATCAACTATCCTGCAGCTGAAGGCCCTTGGCATCGACAATGTGGTTCGATTTGATTTCCTATCTGCGCCGCCATCGGAGCTCATGTCAAAAGCACTCGAGTTGCTCTACTCGCTGGGTGCTCTAGACGACTATGCAAAATTAACCCAACCGCTTGGATCCCGCATGGCCGAGCTAGCAGTTGAGCCAATGATGGCGAAAACCCTCCTATCAGCGCCGCAGTTTAACTGTCTAAGCGAAATGCTGACCATTGCTGCCATGACAAGCCTTGGAGGGAACGTGTGGTTCTACCATGACGGCGAGCAGAAGAAGATGGAATCTTCCAGGCGTAAATTCGCCGTGGAAGAAGGAGATCATTTGACGCTGCTCAACGTCTACCAGACGTTCATCACAAAGGGCAAGAAGGAGGCCAAATTCTGCCACGAGCATAATCTCAACTACAAATCGATGACTAGGGCAATCAGCATCCGAGCACAACTCAAACGCTATCTTGAGCGATTCAATATCAAGGTGGATGAGACGCTCTCATCTAAACAGGATCAGGGCAACAAGGCAGAGCACATTAGACGCTGCCTCACGTCTGGCTATTTTGCCCACGCAGCACGCATGCAACCTGATGGAACATATCGAAACGTTGAGGGCGGCACAGTCTTGCACGCACACCCCAATTCTCTCATGTTTAATCGTAAAGCTGATTGGGTCGTATTTCATGAAATTATGGAAACGGGGGAGAAGACATATATCCGCGACATTACGAAGATTGAGAAGAATTGGTTGGTTGAATATGCCCCGGAGTTTTATAAGCTTTCACACACAACGGCTCAACCTTGATTGCGCACTTTACAGATGGTTCACATGGGATTTGTGCACCATACGGAAGAGACCGCACAAGCATAATGTTGTTGCACAAACTCAACTATTCAGGCACACAAGCATATCTACTTGATACTTGTGCGTGAATCGGTCAGTATCACGCAGAACGATCCGGCTTTGGACCCAGATTGTTGCCGCAGCTGCCGGCCCTGGGCAGCTCTATGGATCGTTCTGGAATGCCCCTTTTGCACCTGCCGCTCAGACGGAAAAGGATTGCTAGTGCCGTGGTATACCCATACCGTTAGGTCTTGTCAGTAGTAATGCTTGGGATATTGCTGTTGGGTAGAGTACATTGATATTAGTGGGAATAGCCGAAAGTGAATAGAATCTAAGCCTTGGCCCATTGCTCCACGATGTAGGTTAGTGTTGGCCAAGCAAGCTTTTCACGCTTCTCGAAGCTCTCCGTAGGACAATAATAGTAGCAATAATAGCAACTGATCGGTGGGCACCCATTTCCGATGGCTACCCGCCACCGATCAACCGGGCTTGCATGTGCCTGCTCGGCAGCCATAGCATATGCTTTTCCGCCCCTTGCTTGACTTCTCGGCCCCATGAGGTACCATAGTACTGTATCCCTGGGCACAACCAGGTTATGAACAGCTACCATATTTTTGCATTAAATAATGCGCCGATTCAAGGTACGAGTACCTAAGAGTTGCCATGTTGGGCAGTTGCGTTCACAGGCTGAACAAATCTCCTTCATGGAGATCAGAATATGGGTGTCGGTTGGAGGGACATATTTCAGTGCCATCAACATCGATGCGAACGGCTGAGAAAGCGTTGTTTACCTAGTTAGTTGGTTGCCATAGAGAACTCTGCCGGACTGTGAAGCAAAACAAGTGTCGAGGTCAGCTTTGAATCCTTTGTCTTGGATGCGGAGCCTGATTCTTCAAGACTCGGCGGGCCCCCCATGTCTCGCCAGGGTGCAGTAGAAACAGTGTTGCACAAGCTTTTCGACAGCCGCATGCATGTAGAGACCCGTTTCTCCTGTTTCGTCTGAATTGTTTTTTTCTGGTGGTTCACCGACTGTGGCATTATGCAACAAGGGAGAACATGGAGATGGAACATAACACGGACAGGGACCCAGTCACCGGCTTAGGATCCGAACGTGCTGCCTGGTCCTCTGTAATATTACCACTAGCACCACGGAGCATTCGGTACTGTTCTTCCTGTTTGATGCTACTCCGTGCTCCGTCGAGGGACTCCGTAGCATTGGCGCAATTCCTGCGTCCAGTCAGTTGATTTCCAGCTAATAACTCGACTCCGCATCCAACATCGTCTCACCGGTTGGGCAGTGCTCCGAACCACGGTGCTAGGGGGAAAAAATTCATATCGGAAAAGCGGCAGCCATTTTTTTTTTTTTAATAACCCGGGCAGCGGGCCGGATCTTCATGTAACGGGCAAGTGCGTGCAGGACTTGTATCGGTAGTGTCGCTGGCATCTATAAAAAGCTGGCATTTCATAGAAGGGTAAGATTGCGCTTGGCCAAGGGGCGGAAGTGGCAAATGATCAATGGTCAATGGTCAATGGGCAATGGGCAATGGTGGAGGCCTCGAGGTTGAAGAACGGAGACTGGCAGGATGAAGCGGCATTACAAGTCGCAGGTAGCGGTACAAGCACCATGACAGCGAGTGCATTGCGGTGGATATGCCTTTAATGAGGTTGATTGCGTAACTGCTCCTATTGGATAAGGCGATTTTCAAGGCGCATGGGCACGGGTACAAAGGTACCTGCCTACTTGACTTCGTGCAAGTTTGCTGGGCTGCGTCAAGATGAACTCGCTTCTCGAATGCGCCATTTCCTTCCAATGGGGACATTACACAAATCGGTGCTTTTTATCTTTGCTGTTGGTCGTGGCCAACAGACGAAATGTCAAGATCCAATAGTTAGTGGCTGAGGCGACTTGGACGCTGTCAAAACACCAGCAGCGTGGCATGCACAGTCCGCCAGGCATACATTGCTCAAGTTGCCCAAGTGCGCATTTTTCACCTCTCGGTGCGACTCAATGGGTTGCATCAGAAGCCTGCGGGGATAAGCCGTCGAGTGACCGTCTTGGCAGCGCTGATGTTGGAGAGTGAATAAGCCCTCAATACTGCGCTATTGCTTCGTCTGTCTGTCACTGGCGATATTGATGGATGGTACTGTACTTTGGCTTTGGAGCTCTACTTGACACGCCGGTGCGGCCCATTCTCTGCATGCTATCTAAGTCCGGAGTACTCCGTGCCCCGTCGAGCTGTGAGCTGGCATGTCCCCCCAAACGTCCGGTGATGGTGAGATGGGCGGAAATAATGCAGGATGAATTAGCTATGTTGTTTTTCGTCTGAACATGGCTTTTCTCGCCTTTTCTTGCGTTTGCTTGAGATGGATCCAATCGCAGTTGCAGCAATACGAGTATTCGGAAGAGCTCAACCGCTTACATAGCTAAAGTACTGTACCTTTACGAATAGGATTGATTGGATGTGACACCTTAGCACCTAAACACTCACACCACACCAGGAACAATACTCCGCACGCAGTTTTGTGCGTGCACCGACAAGTTCAATTTCGATCAATGGAAGCTCTGCCCACAGGCCTCGACTGTACGCGCGCTGGCGGGACGGCTAGGGCGCTCCTGGGCTAGCGTCAGGGGCTCTAGTGCAAAACACAGTGCCAGACACGCGGATCCGCCCTTTGCAGAATCGCCCATGTGAGCACATGTGATCCATAGACGTCGCTCAGACATGGAGTCCAGTACTGTGCGGGGTGCTGGATGGACGCAACTCGCCTGCGGTACCTGCGTCAGACCCCTGCTAGACGCAGCTCGCCAGACCTTTGTTTTCCTCTTTCGACCGACTGGGCTAATCGCAAAGCACGCCTCGACACCGAACGGGGGGACGGCGCTGGGCGATGGCGCTCGCTGTACCTGTACCTGAACCTGCGCCGCCACCCGCGATTCTGGCGCACAAGGGCTGCGATACACACGGGGATAGCGACGGAGCAAAGCTGTCTGGCGGCATTAGCACAGGTACCAGTACCAGCATCAGGTCGAGCTTGTGCCCATCTCTCTCGCGGCGGCCCGGCGCTAGCACTCCATGCTCAAATTAAACTCCCTACGACCCTGGAAGCTCACTGACCATGGCCAGGCCCTTCAGGTACCTGCGACCTGGCCCCCTGCTCGCATCCTGCCCTGCGCTGTCTTATTCGCTACAACAAGGGGGGAATTGCCCGCCGAAACCTGCTGGGTTCCCTGCAATCGCCTGCTCCTCGCCAAGTTGCTGTACTTGTACTTGCATGCGCTGTCCTGTGCTGTCCCACCGACTCAACAGGCCTGTCGCCTTTGCTAACCCGCTTCGTCGCTCGCTCTCTCTGTCTCTCTCCTTTGGCTCGGAGCCTCTCTCGCGCTCTTCCTCTTCTTTTCTCCTCTCCCCATCGCCAGTTTTCCCTCTGTCGACCATTGCGATTTATCGTTGCAAACCGCCTGCCAGCGGGCCTGTCACTCATTTTTAGCTTTGCTTGTCAAGCTCTCAGTCATTCCTTTTTGCGTGCTGCTTCTGCGAATCAGCAGCTACACAACAGTCGTTCCTTGTCTTTGCCCGCCTGGTTGGCATTGCATTCTTAACCCGCTTTTTTTGGTTTTCTTGCTGGACGAACGTCGATCGACACCACCTCTCGTTTTTGCGGGTTTCTGTTCGGTATAGAACGAAACAAAACAATAATCAACTTCCACACCACATATTTCATGGCGATCAGTACATCTCTTCGACTTTGATCCGCAACGTCATTCGTAATATTTATTTTCTTCCGCCCTTCTTTCCAACAAGGTCTTTTCTTGAATAGGAGCAAGTGAGAAGGAAGATGAGCATAGTTCGAGCTCGAGGGTTAAACCCCGCCGCCGCTGGGGCGATTACACGCGATGGAGAGGCCTATAAGATGGGACCGCGAATCAATCTGCGTCGCAGCTTGGAGTCCATTGGAAACCTGCTGCGCAGATCGGATTGTGTTGCCACCGAAGCAGCCAACACCTGCGAGAAGCCTGTTGGAGGTTCTGGCTCAACCCTCGCCATTGTGTTGGGTATAATGTGAGTCGTCTCATTTTGTTACAAGAAGAAGAAGAAGACAAAAATACCAAGAGAGGGGGAGGGGAAAGGAGGAAAGAAGGGTGAAAGAGAGAGGAAGAAGGGGGAAGAAAAACAAAAGAAGAAGAAGAGAAGAAGCAGGGAACGAGTTGGTCTGGATGGATATGCTAATTGAGGTAGAATTCCGGTTTGTGTGGCCATTGTCGTCTTGATCGTCCTGCACCGCAGGAATATGCGCCGAGACAAGCTGGAGGAGCTCAACGACCCGACCAAGCACCTTGATTTTGGCATGGGAGACGCCCCTGCCAAGAAGCGAAAGAGTCTGCTGGGACTTGGAGGAGAAAAGCCTATGCACAAGGGTGGTCTTTCCATGGACATGAACCTCACATCGCCGTACCTGCTTCCCCCGGGCAACCATGGATCTCGCGAATCTATTCACTCGTATGCTCGAACTCTCCAAACCGAAGAAGACCCTTATAGAACCGTCAACCAATATGCAGCTAGTGATGTTGGTTCTATCCGATCGTTCAACCCAAACGACAACTCTGGAACACGCCCTCCCAAGTCTAGTGCCCTATCGAAGCCTCCCATGCACCCGTCGACGCCACGATCCCCATCCCCGGATGAGAAGGTCGACCCCTTTGCTACTCCTACGGCCCCTAAGCCTACGCACCAGCCTCCCAGTGCCGCCGAGGTTCATGATGTCATGCTCCCTGTCCAGCCAATTGTCCCGGAAATCGAAACGGTCCCTCCTGTCGACGTCTTCAACGCGGATGAATTCGAAGTACCTGATATCCCGACTCCTGCTCCGGCTGCCTTGAAGCTTGGCCAAGATGGCTCTCGGAGCCATCCCAACTCGGCTCGTTCATCTGCTTACACTGATAATGGCATGGCCTCCCCTGCCCACCCCGCTGATCGAAACGTTCCTCAGATTCTCTCTCCCGGACTGCCCCATCATGAAGATTCTCAACCGCAGGAAGAAACCCGTGGCCGACCTCTGTCAAGGCCACCTCCCCCTCACCAGGCTGGTGGTCTCGGCGTTCCGCAAAACGCCAGCAAGCGACTCTCTGTTGGTTTCCGGCCACTTCCTCCTAATGAAATGATGGAGTCTGACGACCCCGAAATCCGCGCCAACCGCATCCGTTCCTTTTACAAGGAGTACTTTGATGATTCTAATGAAGCACCCCCTCCTATGCCCGCTCCACCGCAACAGCACCAGCAGCAACAGCCCAAGCCCAACCAGCAACAAGGTGGCCCTGATTACTACGAAGACTACGACCAGGGCTACATGGAGGCCGCTGCTTACTATGATGCCGACACCAACGCCTTCGTCATGCCGTATGCCCAGCCTGTTACCCGTCGTGCCATGACACCACCCCCAAGCGGACGTCAAGGTGGACCAATGGGCGGCCCTCGTGGCCCCGGCCCGCGCGGTCCCGGCTTCCGTGGACCAAATGGCAACGGAGGAACCTTCTCTCCTGGTCCCGGACGGCCTCGTGCTGATTCCGCCTTTGGGCGACCCCGTGCCGGCTCTGCCTTTGGACCCAGGCCCGATTCTTCCGCCTCTGGTGCATGGGCCCGCCAACAGCAGCCCAAGAAGAACCTCCCCCCTCCGGCGCCTCTGAACACACTCCCAACTCCTTCCAAGCTTGGTGACGATTCCTTTGCTATTTTCAATGCCGCCGATTTCGCTCCCCCGACCAGCATCCGTGACAATGTTGCTGGTCGAAGCCAAAGTCCCTTTGGCGAGAGAAAAGCTTTCCTCCAGCCACCAACCGCCGGTTCACAGCTGGCTGGTGCCTTTGACGAACTAGCTGCCCTCCCAAGCCCGTAAGTAGCATCATCAACACATGAGTGATGCGCATCAGCTAACACATCTATCAAGGCACTTGCTCCGAAAGTCAGGCACATTTACGGCTCTGGACTTTGCCCCTCCTAAGAAGTTCAGAGATCCTGAGAATGCCAGTGACGCAGGCAGCATCAGGAGTAACAAGAGCGGCATGTCTCAGGCTCACCTCCAGGCTATTCGAAGCGGAGCAGGCCGAGTCAGCCGTCTGCCTGGCGACACGGTCTTCACGGCAGCTGCCATGGACGACCAGCTGAAGCCCTCATGGTCAGTGCGACCTTAGAGAGGGCGTAGAGTAGGCTGGCTGCCTCGGGTGGTATTTCTTTAGTATCAGCGTCGTCATTTCTTGCTTACGGCATCTGCATGATTCTGCCAACAGATAAGCGGCATTTCAAAGCGCTCTCCAAAAGGGAGTTTGTTTATTTTGTTCACTTCCACAGGAGTAATTAGGGATTACGACGGAACTCTTTTCGAATTTTGGGCTTTTTTGCGATGTTTGCATATAGATGGACTTGGAACCTAACCCAACACACATGAACTACATCTCAGGTGACGAACTTCGTGCCTCTTCTTTGGCATCTGAAGGAAAAAATTGTACATAGGCAATATAGGTCAATCAGATGCACTCACCCTTTTTTTTTTATTTGTTTTATTTGTTTTTTCTTTGCTGCATGTTTTGTCTTCTTTGCGTGTTTATTAGTGCTTTTGTGTGTTGGTGCTTGTGTTGTCTTGATATCTTGATCGTGTGTAATTTTAGGTATTTGCTTTGTTAGAGGTGACATCTTCCTTGGTGAATTGTACGTGCTGTGTTGAGTGTTTAAACATGTAATGTCTTATTCCCCGATAGTAGTCAATTGTGCGTGCTGTGTGGAGTGTTTGATATGCAATGTCTTATTTTCTAATACTAGTTGTCAACTCATCGTTCTCTCTTATCATCCACAAGGGCGGTTCGAGGAAGTGAAGTCGGTATCACGTGCCATCTCGGCGTAGGATAAGGAGATCATCATCCGGGCTCTAAATGACTGACTGCTCCTGTGGAGCACTCCATTGATTGGCGTGATAACATCCATGGAATGTGCTTGAGTATTTTGGATCAGGTGCTCGAATCCGTGCATGTACGTCGTATCTACTCGTATACTTTGTACTGCAGCAGTCTTGACACTAAGGCACGAAGTTGATAGTAGCGTCTGTGTCTGTTTTTATCTCTTATGTTCCCCGCCTATCGAGTGAGAAGCTGAATCATTGAGAGAGAACAATGTGACTGACAAAGCGCGCGCCCTTTTTTGGTGTTCCAGGGGATGGGCTAATAATAACCGGGTTGTTCAGTCAGTTGGGCACTTTAGTAAGCTTCCTCACGGACCATGCTTTTGTGGCAGTGAGGCCTCGGAGACGGAGTGTGAGACGGGCAGTGCAAATCTCGGGCTCCCTTGTTTTTTTTTTTGTCTGTTCAGTATAGGCGCCAAGGATTTGGCGTCGACGGTTATCTGGTGTGACTGTTTAAGCCGCAAGTTGTGTGTAATGAATGGCTTGCAAAAATAGAGGGCATCATCATCGGTTTGTTTACTTATAGATTTGACGCAAACAACTGCTCCTTTGTACCAATTGTGTGTGGTGTGTGGTTTGTCGGGACAAAACAAAGCCCTTGCGCCTCCGAGAAATGTGATGCACTTTGCATATGACACGCATCATCCACCTTGGAGGTTCGACTTAGGCGAAATTAGTGGTCGCGCCAACCACTAAAACAGAAACCTTGAGCCCATTGGGTCAGTGTCAGCGACAGTCAGCTGGGAGCGGCGATTGAGATTGGGGGTCAATGTTCAGCCATTTGTTGTCGAATGTTGATAGTGCCTGTAGCTGCGTGTTGGTCCCTGGCACCTTGAAGGTTCAATGTTGATGATTGTCAATATTTGATGTACGTGTTGAGAACAAGAGCTCGGTACACGTACCCAGGGGACAAGCAAGACACTGGACACTAGCCGCTCGGGGATCAAGCCCCGATTCCCCGGCAAAAAAAAAAGAAAAAAGCAAAATCAAGCCAGAAAAGGACCACGGAGTAATCCATCCAGCACAGCAAGAGGGGGCAACCACAGAGTCGAGACTGCAGGAACGGCCATCCGGTACAGTGGCGCTAGCGCAGGACACACGTGGCGGTGCAAGACAGATTACGAGCAGCCGCACAGTGTCTGTCACAGTGCACAGTGGCTCCCCCCAACGCACCCGTCCGGTGTTCCTTTTCGTGCTGCTATCGTCGCTCGGGTGCGGGTGCGTCAGAACTTTGTAGCTCTTCTCGGCCTTTTCCTTCGTATCGCTCACTCAACCCCCCCTAACGAGTTTTTTTCGTCCTGTTCCCTTTTTCCTTTTCCCTCATCGACCCGGTACGCGTTTTTCACTGCATTGGGTTTGACAGCTGATCTGGTTTGGTTCCCTGTCCGCCCAGATTGACATTCCTAAGCGCCTCTCTCCTCGCGCTCTCTGCCCATCCGCCTCCTCTTTTTTTTTTCTTCCATCGTTCAAAACCTCGTACACGCCCCACGGCCCACCCTCCTCGCAGATTCTGCTTGCGTCCATTCGCTGTGCTTTTCGCTGCTTGTACGAGCCCGGGGAGCTAAGCCAAGGCTAAGGTGCCGTCAGACGTTCGTGGGCCTGTCGCCGAATCCAACCGTTGCGGCTCGTATCTCTTCTTTTTTCTCTCTTTCTATTTTTTTACAAACGAATCAAAAGATCAGCCTATTTTTGCGACTGGCGCTCGCTCCCTTCATCGTCCGAATTGGCTGATTCGTTCCACGCGCACGTTCTTCGGATTGTCTCTGGAACGTTGGACTGAAAACAAGGTACGTTTGCGGTTCCTGTTTGTCTTGCCTCTGGCCTCCCTTTGCAAGCCGTTTCGAGCTCAATCGATCTTGTGCTTCTTCATCCTCTGTCGTGCTTCCCGACGGCTACGGTCATCATGCGAGGCGTCAGACGCGGCTGAGTTCTCGTCGGCTTCGTGCGTAGCCACTGCGTTCGGCCTGGTGCCATTGCACGACCATCATCTGGATGGCTTATCTGCTCTAGCTTGAGTCGTCGACTCCGGCGGTTGGAGGGAATACACGCTATTTGTTGCTTCGCATTGCGCTTCGTTTCGCCCGGCTCTTTTCTAGTCGGCTAAGCGCCTTGGACCTTCATTCTAACATTGCATCTCAACACAGTCGATCCAAGTTTACGACTGTCCACACCGGCGCCGTCACCATGTCTACCAACACATCTAATCCGCCGCAAAATTCGTCGCCGCCCGAGCATTCGGACGCCGCAGCGCCTCCTTCTTCAACTCCAACTCCACCACCGAGCTCAACTCCAGAGCCGCCGCCATCATCAACAGCACCACCACCTCCTCCTTCATCGACACCTTCATCGTCTACTCCAGACAACCCCCCGTCCTCGACAGCTCCGCCATCTGAGCCTCCATCGAGTAGCACTACACCACCACCGCCGCCGACTTCATCGTCATCGACAGAGCCACCGACTTCTACGGAACCGCCTTCATCTACGTCAAGCTCATCGTCGTCATCTACTTCGAGCTCATCGTCTACTTCTACGACCCCAGAGCATACCACCAGCAGCAGCAGCAGCGACTCTACAACCGCGCCCCCTACATCTACTACTCCTCCCCCTACATCGTCAACGACAACTGAGGAAACAACTACTGTTTCGGGGAGCGCTCCTTCGACTGAACAGGTGGTTGTAACACGCACTCGGTCGGCTACCAACACCCCAGCCAGTGGCACCACTACCTCGTCGACTTCGACGGCAACTCCGAATGGTATTGCTGGCAAGGATAGCAGCGGCGGTCTCGACTCAAAGGCCAAGGTAGCCATTGGCGTCGTCGTTCCCATTGTCGCCATTGCCATCCTGGCCGTCATTGGACTTTTCCTGTGGAAGAAACGTCGTGCGCGCCGGGTGGCCGAGGCCGAGCGAAGAAAGGAGGTCGAGGACTATGCCTACAACCCCAATGCCGATCCCACCATTCCTGTAGTTGGCATGACTGGAGGAGACGCGTATGAGATGCGGGAAGAGGGATCTGTTGGCTACCGTGGCTGGGGATCAACCACTCTTGGCGGCTCAACAGGCCGAAAAGCTTCGACCACGATTTCTGGTGCCACCAACGGTTATTCCGACATTTCGCCTACTCGTGGCGGCAACATGTCTGACGCGGCATTGATTGATGGTCCTGAGGGAGAGATTCTTGGCGCCATGGGACCGTCAGCGGCAAACAACCGTGGCGATGTTCGACGAGGAGCTTCTAATGCGTCTTCTTCATACAGCGCAACCGGCCGATCAGACGGCTCTGACGCGGGCGCAGGCATGGCCTACAGCACTGGCGCCGGTTACTACGATCAATATAGCCAGACTCCCTATGACACCCCCTACGGTGGTGCCAACGAGATGCCAGCTCCGCCCATTATCCGCGACAATCCCGCTCGGCGTAGCACGCGCGTTGAAAGTCCTGGTCACTTCCCTCAGCAGAGCGCTGGCATTTCCCAGAACTTCTAAGCGCCACCCGTCTGTGAGACTTTGGATGTTTTTAACGCTCGTTGCGCTCGAAAGATAGATACCCCCCGTTCAGCCAGGCGTCTTGGCCCGTTTCAGGGGTTGGGAGGACGCTGAAGGAACATGAGAGGCGTTTTTAGGATTTTTATTTCCCCCCATCACTTTGTTTAATACTGATTTGCATACGACGAAATTTGGCTTTTGGATTTTTTTTCTTCCCCCTTGGTTTTTTTCTTCGTCAATTTACGCTCGCTTCACTCACATACACTCGCTTTTATTTACAACGCGGCACAGCACGGTACAAGTCGAATATGTTGATGCTTGTTCTTGGTTTACGGGAATGAGAATTGATTTAATATGGGCAAGATGAGAGGTAGTAGAATAAAAGAAAGAGGAGGGATCTGCTTGTTCAAGAGGAGGCAACAAAAGGAGACGAATCAATGTTGGTGGGGGTGGAAAATAGAATGACACATGCTTTTTACTTATTTAGCATGTATCATTCATGACAAACACAACGACGAGAAAAGAAAAAAAGGGGGGGAGACGCACTTGTACATACAAACACTATATGCATCTACATCTGCGGGCGTAGCGAGTCGATTTTACTGCTGCCAGTGCTGTTGCTGCTACGGTTGGCTTGATTCTACTATACCTCCATTATTCCAGCCATTCGGTGCCTTTAATGTCTTCCACACCTCCTCAGACGTATTCATACCATGGATCTTATCAACTAGATGTTTTGTACTCGTCTACTGATTTCGTATGGGGTTGATGATGCCTGTCTTTTCGTCGTCGTGGCCAATCCCCTGCCTCGATTTGGACCCTTTTTGTCGTGTCTTGGATAAATGTTTTTGGTCATGCGGAGAATTCTTTTAAAACAAAAGAAGTTGGGTATATAGATGCTGGGATGTTTTTATGGAGGAAATGGTATCACATGGTACAAAGTTGCGAGTCTAATATATACATATATACACTTACTTTTCTTCACATTTTCTTCTTTAAAGATGTGAGATTTTATGACTTTGTCTTGGGTTCGTGTTTTGGTGTTTATACATACGGACACACAACTCAAATTTTTACCACTACTGATGCCAACCAGGCACCTATCTTGTTTCTTTGGGAGTGTGAATATATCTACAAAGCCCCCTACCATATTTACGTGCTATTATTTCGTATCAGCTGGTTTCCGTCTACACCAAAACGCCTGAAAGATTTCTTTTGTTTCCTTGTTTTGCCTGTTTAATTTATTTGTCTTTTCTTTTCTTTTCTTTTCTTTTCTTTTTCTTTCCATCCTTAACCGTCCCCCCTAATTTACGCCTTCAGCCAAGCCGACGCAGTGCCTCGCTCACCCATCCCCTGACTCAACTCCATGCGGTCCCACCAAAAGCGGCACTGCTCCAGCTCCCTGTCTGTAAGTCTCCTCGTCTTGACCGGCGTGCCTTGATTTCTTCCTCCCGCAGCTTCGTCATTGCCTTCTCCAAAGACGAGAAGCTCCCCGATTCCTGCTCCGGAGAAAGACGTAGCGGAGCTATCGTCTCCGAGGGGACTCTGAAACAGGGGCCAAGCTTCCTCTTGGTCGTCTTGGTTGAGTGTACCAGAGGGTGAGGAGCAGAAGGAGACCCAGCGGTGATTCATCTCCTTGGCGACGGCTATGAGACCTGGAGTTGACTCGAGGATGTTTAGGTCGTGAGTTACGGCGGGAGGCTGGTCACCGTGAGAAGCTGCCTTGAATGGTGATGAAAGAGCAGCGTATTCATAAAGATATACACGGGCTCCAGCTCGAGATAAAGTGTGTGCGGTATGAAGAACAGGGCAAATATATGCGTAATGGCCGTAAGCTTCGTGGATGCGGCGGAACTGCGCTCCGTACGGGCGTTTCTGAGGACCTCCTATGCCGGGGGGCTGAAGATAGGGGGAATCTGGGTGGATGAGGGGATCAGGGTACAGCAGCTCGAGAGCGTCAAGGTCGTCTGCTGAAAAAGAAGGAATGAGTTTCTGGAAAAAGGAGCGGAATTCGGCGCTGGTGGAGGCATGCTGCGGAGCAAAAGTCGTGCCCTCATGAGAGCAGAAGCCGGTGATGACGGAAATGTCCTTGGCACGACCCGACTCGACGAGCTGGCGCCACAGGTTCAGGGGCAAGTCTGGGATGGCACCTCCAGGACCGTCAATGACGGGCTGGAAGGGCCAAGTCACGGGCGTGTGGTGCATGGCGTAGACGGTGAATGAGGCTTCGATGAGAGAGTCGATGGGGAGGATGTCGAGAGGCCTGTTGTTGGCGTACATGCTGCACTCGTTTAGATGGCCTACGTTGCGAGGATGTGAAGGAGAAAGCACAGAGCGTGCAGTTGGAGATCCGGACTCGAGGATGGCCTTACGAAAGGGGAGAGGAGAGGGGTTGAGCAAGTGATGACCAACCTGAGAGGTGAAATGTCAGTAAAATCTGCCGTTCGGTGGTGCATCATCGTCATCTTCATCTTCATCTAGTGATAAGATATTCCACCAAGAGATGAGAAATTTCAAAAAAAACTCACCGAATGCGCCCCAGCACTTGTCCCCAAGAGCGTGATATCACCAGCATCCCCCCCAAACTCGCCAATCCACTCCTTCACCCACTCAACCGCCAGCCTCTGGTCCCTCAGCCCCAAATTCAGCTCCTGCGTCTCCGGCGCACCAGCCAAGAACCCCAGCGCCCCCAGCCGATACGAAACGCTCACAACCAGCACCTGGCTCGCCCCCCAGGCCACAAACGACGCCAGATCCCTCTCCAGCGGGAACCCAAAGTTGAAGGCCCCTCCATGAACGTAAACCACCACGGGCAGATCCCTCACGCCCTCGCTCTCAGGCCCAACCACGTACTCCGACGCCGACGCCGACACCGACGGCCGGAACACGTTGAGCGTCAACGGATTTTCTGCCGTGGCGTGCTGCGCCATGGGGATCGGCTGTGAGGGCGCAGGGCGCGAGGCATCGATGACGCCTGAAGCCTCGGACGGGGGCATCGCCACGGCGGCCCGGAAGCGCTGGGCGCTGGCGAACGGGATGCCGTGGAAAATGTCCAGCGCTTTTGGGTACTTGGCTGATGCGGGCTGGAAGACGCCGACGATGGTGCAGCCGTTGACGGCGACGGTTGGAGCCTCCATGGTTGGGAAGCGAGTCAGTCAGTTCAGGATCTGGGGGTTATGACGTGGGGTGATTTGAAGTGAGGATATCGAGATGATGACGCTGGCTGGATATCAAGGCGACGACGGCGGAGATGAGATGGATATATATTGGAGAGAGTAAAAGAGAGAAGAAGAAAAAAGACGACAGCAATGATGAGCGGCTAGAATGTGTCGGGATGAATATTCTGGTGCTGTCGCCAAGATTTTTTGAAGTTGAAGATTTTTTTGTCTTCTCTCAGCAGCTCATCGCAGCTGTTGTGCCAAGGCATAAACAAAACCGAGATATACAAACAGGTCGGGCACCTGTACCTTGTTCCGCTCCAGGTATTAATACAGAGTGCGTGCAGCAGTCCCAGCGAAAGAAACAAGAGGCGTAAAGACTTCAAAGCACTCGTTAAAAGATGACTCAATGAAAAAAGCTAGCAATGAAAAATTGGCAGCCAAGCGAGGATGTAACGATGCAGTCCCTAGCCTTATGTTATCAATAAAAGTGAACACCAAAAACTCACGGAGCCAATAGACGTCATTGCTGCATTTGGCAGACTAAACTTGACACTCGCTCGAATCTGGCTAGAAGGGAATGGTGACTGATGACATGACATCAAATGACAGGTGACAGCTCAAAGATTTGCATTGTTGCTTCTACTGCTAATGCTAATACTAATAGTCTAATATCAATACTAGCAGTCTTAATCTAACCTTGGCCGTCCTTAGACTTCTCTTTCTCCCAGCTCTACTGCAGAGTCTCTCCTCTCTTAGCCGTAATGCATCCAGCCTGCACAGCACAGCCGGCAGATCCCTTTAGCCTCATCCACCTTTCTGCGAATCAGCCGCCCAATTACTGGCTGCCCAATTGTCAGCCCCGTCCTCTATCCTAGTAGAAAGCTCAAGCAGCTACAGTGTATCATAGCTAAAGCGTTGCACGCCTCGCGGCTGCAACCGTGGGATTGCTCCCAAAACCGCAAAAGTCTTTGTATCCCAAAGCGTCGACAAATTTGCGACACCAAAAACTCGCAAGCCCTTAAAAACTCCAGTCCCGTCCCTATTTGTACAGTTGAAACAATGGCGGTATTGATATACTCGCCACCCGCGTTGTAACTCCCCTCCTTGATATATCTGTTGTGCGCCTGATGCTGCTCAGTCAGAGCAGCCCCCCTTAAAGAGAACCTCAAGAACACGGGTATGATAGAAAAGAAAATGAACAAAAGAAAGAGTAGACAAACAGTGCCTAAACTCTAGAGATACCGCACCCTCATTGCCCCGTGATTTGCTTCAGAGACGCCGCCTCCTTACGACGCTTCCTCTCTGCCCACTCCCGACTCGCTATTCTAGAGCGCTCAGCAGCCTCGTCTCGAGCAGCCTTGGCAGTCATCGGTCTGTCACTCTTCTCGTGACTCTTCTTCTCCATGATGCTTGCAGAATCGTGCCCCAGAATCTCTTTGCTCTTAGACCGGAACCGGGTCATCATGTTTTCAATGGATAGCGGATTCTTACTCTTGGTGGCGGTGACCACTGATGCAAGTATCGACCGGTTGATAGACTCTGCGACCGCAATCATGGAACCACGTCCACGCTGCTTTTCCGCCTTACTCGGGGTGGGCGTCATAGGCTCATCGCGCACAAGACCCAGCGACAGTCGCTTGACCTTGTGAGACAAGGCCGCCTGCCTCTCCGCGTTTTCCTCCTGAATCTTGGCCTGACGAGCTCGACTTGCTACGGTGTCACGGGGAAGCGTGCTAGGCGTAGAGTTTGGCCGAGCAGGTCGTGCCTTGAATTCGCGTCTCTTCCGCTGCTCTTCTTCCTGGGCCCGCAGCTTAGCCTCGCTTTCCTCCCTCTTGCGCCGCGAAATGGTATCTCCAGGCAGCTCAAAGGTAGGCTTGGGCAAAGTCTTGTTGCTTCTCGGCTTTGGGGGGGCCTCTAGTGCCTTGAGAGCCGCCGCATGATGTGCCTCGCGGGTTTCGCGAACTTCCTTCAAGCGTCGAGCGACGGCCTTGCCCGGCAACTCAAAACTGGGAATTGTAGGCGTTTTCGATGAGCGAACAGAAGACTTGGCCACAGTTGCCAGGGTGTTCCCGGCTTTAGACATGAATACACCAAGGCCGGACCGACGACTCGAGGATCCCTTGACTGGCTCTTCAGGGCTCTTCTCCCGAACAGTTAGAGACGCAGATCGACGCGGTGTTGCGATGGCCTTTTCAGGAGGTTTAGAGCGAACTGTGGCCGGTGCACCAGATACCGTCGATCTTTTGAATGCTCTCATTGCGTCTTCTGGTGTTGAATAAGACGAAACCTTTGGTGATGGTCTGGTTACCAGAGCCAGTTGTTGAGACTGCGTAAACGCGTTCACTGCCTCCAACTGGTCCTCGAGCCGATCCAGCTCCTCCAGCGAGTCCTCAATCCGCGGTAGCGAGAATGAGGTGGCTCGTGACGAGCTGTCGCCAAAGCTCCTGTCGCTCACCGCAGTAAACGCTGGCGAAACCGCATTCTCAACGGCGAGAACAATCTCGGGAACCTTCATTGGCGGCGTTACTGGACGGCTATGGTCCATCCAGGTGACGGAATCGTCATCACCGGCGATCCGAGGATCCTCCATTTCCACGGTCCAGTTGGCGCTGTATTGCAGTGGCGTCGCCAGTAGATAATATGAATTGAGCGGGCACTCGCTGTCGCTATGTGGCTCCCGCTTCTTCTGCAGCACTAGATTGCAGACGTAAACTTTGCCGTCAGCTCCGTGCTCAGATGCGTACTCTTCAGAGGAACTGTCGTGAATGCTAGAATTCGGGGACGGCAGATGGGTCAACAGCCATTCAAACTGGCCTGCCGAGTGTCTCTTGACCTGCTCCCAGATGGTGCGTTCGCCAATTGTATCTCTTAGTATGTCGTATACTTCAGCGAATCGCTCTAGGAGAAGCGCAAAGTATGTCAATGACTGGGTGCAAGCAAGGAAAATGAGAGAGTAGATGATTGTGACCGTATGCCAACACACCTTGAGATGCACGAGTGGAGGATGACCCCGTGTTCTCATAATTGTGCTTGTTGATGTCCAGAGTAGACGCTTCTCGCAAAGAATCGAGAGGCTGAAAAGTCTCTGAAACAACGGCTGGCCGGCGACGAAATTGGGGTGAGGATTGTCTGGCTGCTCGACGGAGAGCCGAAGGAGAGGTTGCTATGACATGTTTCTTCAGGTCTCTGGTAATAGCAACATCCGATGGCCGATGACCCTGGCTGTGATGTTGACCTGGACAGGGATCCTGGACGACGCTATCACCCGCTAAATTCCGCTTCGACGACGTTATTTGCTTTGGCGTATGATGAGTCGGCAGTTTTTCGTAAACGTCACGAGAGCTGCCCGGTCTCGCGGGTCGCTGAAAGATGTCGGCTCCAAAGCGGACATCACAAGTGCCCCCTTTTTGCACAGCGCCAAAGCCAACATCCTCTGCCGACGACGACTTCGCGATGCCGCGCCGGGCCATTGTCGCAGCAGCTCTCGGGAGCAGTAGATGGCGCCTGCAAAGCGTGCCGAGGGCGTGATTGGACTGGAAACTTCGCACGCAGGGGGTTTCTATCAGATACGATAGAAATTAATTACTACGACTCCGTATCCTTCGCGGACAGAACCAAAACCGTAGTCTAATTTCGCGGACAGGCCGGACTCGGGCGGCCGTGGGCGCTCAAGCGGGGCCGAAACCAATATGTTCGCGAAGTCTTCTATTTCAACTAGTAGCTGGTGAAATGAACCAAGATTGCTGTGATGATGCTGGTTTGGGTATAGTAGGATAGGCAAATAACCTCTGGGGTAAATCAGCTCTGCCGTAGGAAGCTATTTTGGACTCAATGTTGATTGCGGGTGAGACAGGTTGCCAAGTGGTGGAGCCGAAATGAAATGAATCCGATCTCCTTCCACCTTCCGCTCTGCTGCGCCAAGGTCCACAGTGATTGCTTTCAACCTTGCTGGCCCATCGTCATTTCCCTTGTCCCAGGTCGCCATTTTTATCGACTCCCCTTTCAAGTCGCCTGTGTTGCAGTGGCAAGCGACATCGCGACCAGGGCCGAGGCAACGCGTCTCGGATTAGTATCGGTGGCGCGGCAAGGTACCGGCGATAAGGGTGGGAGGCTGCCGATAAAATCGACGATGGCTGAGGATGCCTCCCATCGAAGGTTTTCGATCTGCAACTCCATCTTTCCGGGATGGAAAGAGGAGCATCTTCTAGGGCATAATCTTGACATGCCGGGAGACCATGACATCAAAGGAAAGGTTTGCTGCAAAGTACCGGAGTCTGTTGCAGCATGCAATGCATCCAAGAGCATGTGCGCTGACCCCTGTGGCGATGTCCCTTGCCTCGTATAACCCCATGATGAGGTAGCCAGTCGATTCCAACAAGCTCGAGGCGACTTCTCAAAAAATCATTCGCATAATAGTAGTAGTAGTCGATCCGATGCTGTTAATTACTACCATCATTCTTGCCCATCCCAGCTTACGCGTCCGTCATGGACTCGTCGGCTGCCGCTTCTACTGCTTCGGCTTGCGCCTGTAATGTCGGTGCATGCTCCGTGGGAATTCGTACTAGAGTTTGTGGCAGTTGCACCGCGGATGTTGATGCCTCTTCTGTGGCAGGCCCAGCTGCTGTTTTTGCCAGTTTTGCTATGTTATGGTTAAGAGCCGGACATGACTAGAGTAGTGATACTGGACCTACATGAAGCCATGCTGATGGCACGAAGCACATTATGCCAGTTACCAACTACAGCAGCAATCACTGCCCGTCTTGTCAGTTCCAATTCTCATCTCCATAAGCACAATTCAACACAAGCTTGTCTTACCCTCAGTTCCATCTGACAAGGTGGTGAGCTTCTGCTCCAAGGCCTCCATCTGAGTTGCCACTGTCGCGCTCAAGTCTCTCAGCTCCTTAAGATTCTCAAGCTCTGCTTTTTTCTCTTCGATTCGAGCCAACAATGCCGGTGACTGTGGAGCTGAAGCGGTTGAACTTGATGCGCGCACATGCGATGAAAATGACCTGGTAGGATACGACATTTTGGGCGATGGATGTATTTGTGTGTGAAGAATTATCTGTCTCAGTATTAAACAATAATCATCGGATTAGCAGACAAGTGTAGCTGTCATTAACAGAAAATGCATCAACGGGCTTGAACTCAAGCTTCACCGGCTTCGGATATGTAGACCAAGCAATTGTATTGAGTTTCTTTCTAAGATCTGGCGGGGTCTAGTCCCGAAGCTTGATTCACGTGGTCTTCACCCTAGCAACCAGAAGCTTTTGTGTACAAACGGTTTGCTAGTGTAGAGATAAAAATTTGCGCTATGCCCAAACAGGTCGCGGAGTAAATAATGACACAACCAAAATTATCCCGCCCAAAGCACTTTCCAGACCGACTTCTCAACCGCTTTTGATACCCCAATAACCATCACTGGCTGTTAAACTCTTCTCCATAACCATTTGCGCGGCAGACACGCGTGTCTCCTGAGGAGCCATGGCTAGGCTCAACGAAATCCCGGTGCCGACAGAGACCCTAGAAACGCGTATGTGATCTCGGGTATCAACTTCTGATTTGTCGCGCGTGCTAACAACGTGCCATTCAGTTCGCAAGAAGATGCTTCGCCAGAATAGAGAACTCGCAAAGACAAACAACATCCGAGCCCTTCGAATCCGCGAACTGGAAAATGAGTGCGCATGTATGCTGTCGGAAAATCTCGAGCTGCGCAGCCGCATCCTGGAGCTGGAAAAACAAGTCGACGACAGCGAGTCGCGAAGGATAGCAGATCACGCGATGGCCATCAAGGCCAAATTAGAGTCGCAACTTACAGAATGGGGCTCTCTTATTGCAGAATTGGGCCTCGAGCCGCCCGCCAAGAGGCATTCGCCCATGATTAAGCGAAGATCAAAGAACCCATTGGGCTTCAGCGCGAGTCGGCCTAGTCCATCTCAGAGGCGGCTACGCGAAATTGCAAAAGATGTTGAAGAACTTGGCGTCATCAGCGAAAACAGGAGCAATTCCCGGAGATCCATGAAGTAGGTAACCTCAACTTCGCAGTGGATAAAATGACATGCTAACAAATCTATAGTCATGAACAAATTCTGGCTCTCAGGTCAGAAGCTGATATCGAATCGCCTGAACTGGGCCCTCCACCAATGTCTAAATACATTGAGGAAGACCCTGTCAAGATCGATTCACCAACTAGATCAATGCCTGTTGAAAGCTCAAAGAAGACAAAGGGCCTGGAGCCCCCAATTACACTAGCATCGTCAAAATCTGACCAAGTAGACGATGGCGAGGAGCAGATAGCGCAAAAGCGTGACCGGGTCAATAAGCCCAAGAATACTGCGGATGCTGCACCAACTCTACCCGTTAAGGCCGGGTCAAAACGGAAATTCGGAGCTCAAGACGACAACGAGAACAATCAACCTCAGAAGGGAACGAACGAGAAGAGTATTGGCAAGATATTAGTCGACAAGACAGAAGGAAGGTCGGGGAGGGGTTTCGTTAAGATGAGAAAAACCTCGCAACTGGAGCTCTCAGAAAACGTTCGAAGACCGCTGGCAGTCAAGAGCACTAACGACGATATTCAATCCCCGAGGAAAATTTCCAAGTCAAAGCCATCGGTGGTTGATGAGATAGCGACAGCCAAACTCAATGCAGCAAAATCGAGGGCGGCATTTGATCGACAAAAACAAAAAGCGAAGAACCCATTACCCACTGAAGCAGAAGCCCTGCCTATCTTTACGATTGAACCTCAAGGATCCTCGGGTGCAACAGTTGACTTGGCAGCACCCATCCGAGAATCAGCATTGTTCTCGCCTGGCTCTCTGGCGGTGGACGTATCGCCTGAGGGATCACGAGGAGACACGCCTCCTCCTTCTCACATCTCGTCCAACGGAGAGACATCACGGCCTAGTAGGCGGAATCGGACGACTATCAGTTATACTGAGCCTAACCTGAAGGGCAAGATGCGACGACCAACTAAAGAGCTATTTGACGCCGTAACTGGAGAAGGGAAATACGCTCGACGGGTCAGCAACTACGAATCCGCTCTGCCTGAATCGACAAAGAGTAAACGAGAGATGGCAGTAACCGATATTGAAGATAATCCGTCGAGCCCTCTGGCGGCAAAACATTTAGCTACAGACGTCCTTCTAAGTAGCGTCGTTACGGAACGCCGCAAGCGTTCCTCGAGCATAGCATCAAAAGGCTTGGGAATTGTCAACGATGCTTTGAAGGACGCAGAGTCATCCGAGGGATCAAGAGATACTAGTATCAACCTTGATAGTAGCGGTTTGGCAGAGGCCGATGTGTATGAGTTTACGAGCGAGTCGCCTCCGGCTGAGAAGGAAGTAGTCAAGGAACCAAAGAAACGGGGTCGGAGACGGACCACTACATCAAGGCATTCTACAATCAATCCCGATGATGACTATAAAGACGACAAGTTATCAACAAGAGAGAGGATTAACTCTAGACGGAGGAGTATGATGGTATGACGGCCCTGAAGCCTATAAGAGCAGAGGGGGAAAGTACAAGGAGTTTCGAGCAAGGATGTGTTTGGGCGTTACTGTGGGCACTCACGACTGTCAATTTGGGATGCATTGTTAGGCGAACTTGAATCTTGTTTCATGCGCGAGATACCAAGCGACGGAAATTATTGAATGATATTTGAATTTATCTTTATGCTTTTTCTGGTTCTTTGAAAGTAATGGTGGACCTGTACACCGACAAGCACCAAAGTTGTTATATATAATTGGGTTGGCCCGGGTATTGACTCCTTCTCTACCTCTGCCGTCGGCAATTACAATGGTTTCTATTAGCTGAGCATCTTCTCTCTCTCCAATTAAGTCAGGCGTGTCATGATGAACCCGTAGATGGCTCCACGGGCTTTGTATAAGTAACCTTCTCTACCGCCACATTCTCATTTCCCTTTTCATCCGTCTTTAGTTGGTAAACGTAGAGAGTCAGTGAAATGCCTTGGACCTGTCATAAGGGTCAGTATCATTGCTGAGAAGTATAGAGTATATAGAAGATCTCACATCCATCAGGCAAAAGCTTGGAGACGTAGGCTCCGCATCCAGGCTTGCTCCGGTCAAGAAGGCTCCCGTCGCGCTGCCCGGGTTCACGAAGAACTTGTCCATGTACTCGAAGGCATCGAAACGGTGAGTGCCGCCCCAGCATAGGACATCGACGTCCAGTCTGTTGGCTTCAGCTAGAAGCAGGTCGGGCTCGTTGGAAACAAGCGTGAAGCCTTCCAAGAAGCCAATTCGGATGCCTCCGTGGGTGACGACCTGCGTCAAGGGGAGAGACGTGGCTTCGACATCGGTGCGGCCCTTGACGATCTTGAGGTCCGGCGACAGGGACCGTAGATACTCGTAGGTGTGCTTGTCGGTGAGGTTACCGAGACATAGAGTCTGGCCAATCTTGCCGGGCGCAAGCAGCTTCTTGAACTAGAGGGGCGGAACGCAACATCGCAAGTTAGCAAACGGTGACAACACCCAAGCTCCAGGGTAAAGCCGCTGGGGACTCTTTCTTGCTCGGCGTACCTTGGCGGGAATGTCCAGCGCCCTGTCCGGGATGTGCAGGTCCCCAATCACAAGTATGAGGAAAGTCATGGTTCCTCGCCGAAGCTGCGCAGTTCAGTGGCCGGATCGGAATCGAACTTGCGAAGCTGGATCCCCCAGAAAGCTGACGACCAATTACTACCGCTGGAGCTTGGGTGAGGCTTGGAGGGGCCGCAGGTACGTCGACAGCTCGGATACAACGATGTCAAATATTGGATATTGGCATACGCTGCTCAGCCACACTCCACCTGTCTGGCGCAACTTATCGTTATCGTTATCGACTGGCGGGGATTACGATAAGGAATTTTTTGTGCTGTGCGCTTTGCTTGCCTCGAATTTTGCAGCGGGCAAAGCGGACGCTTTCTCTCACTCAAGAGGTTTTGGACGATATCTACGACAAGATGGCGGCTCCAACTCCGACTCTGGCTGAGAAGCTGGACAAGATCAAGTCCCCGGGACTTCAGAGTCAGAAAAAGGTGAGCATTCTTGTGTATTCAGAGATTGATGTACGGTTTGCACTGGCTAACTTTTTTGTGTGCGCTTAGACTGTCGTTGTGTTGCAGGCGGTCGAATCAACTTTGAAGGAGCAGAACACAGCTCCCACTTCTACTGGATATTTTGCCGCCCTTCTCGCGCTTCTTCAGCAGGCGGAGAACAATGGAAATATTAACATCGAATTGGCCACTCCGGTGGTCTATCTTCTCGACGTAGTCACCCCGTTCGCACCGCAGCCTCTGCTTCGATCCAAGTTCACCCAGATCCTTACGCTGCTCGCGCCGGTTTTGTTGTCGCAAGATGCGGAGCCAATTCTTCTTAGGACTTCAATTGGCTGCCTAGAATCTCTCCTCCTGGCCCAGGATGCCGCTTCATGGGAACTGTCTGTTACCCAGATTGGACCAAGGCGTGCCGTTGCCGGACTGCTGAACCTTGCTTTGGATCAGAGGCCCAAGGTTCGAAGACGATCTCAAGATGCGCTCAAGAAAGTTCTCAAGAACCCCCCGCCAAGCCCCTCTACGGACCACCCAGCCGCGGACATGTGCGCCCACACTGCGCTGAAGAATTTGGAGGATCTTGCAGCCCAGGCTGTCCAGGCACGAAAGGGCAAGAAGGCGCCCAGCACGACACACGATCCGGCATTGATCCACGCACTTCAGTTGATTAAGACAGTTGCATCTGCAAGCGGTGGCTGGCCAAGCACCAAAATCGAGTCTCTTTGTGAACTCCTCCTAAACATTGCCAAGACGGGCAACGAGTACATGACCATGGCCGCTTTTGAGATTTTCGAGTTGATCTTTGAGGGAATGACAGACGAACTCACTTCAGCAAAGCTGCCTCGCCTGATGGAGATTATTTCAGAGCTGCGACCAGCTGCGAACGATACCCAACTTGTCCCCCCGTGGCTTGCGATCCTTTCCCGAGGCTACGATGTGTCTGCACAGGTTGAAGCTGACGAGACCTTCCAAAACCTTCCCGATCTTTTCAATATGGTGGCGCAGTTCCTTCAGTCTGATTCCGAAAACATTAGAATCTCGGCCTCCGAGTGTTTGGTCTCATTCATGGCCAACTGCATTCCGCCACAGGTTATTCTTGAGCCGTCAATATACGATGAGAAAGTCCTGGATAAAATTGCTAAGGCGGCCGAGTCTCTCCTCAGTGTTCAATACCAAGCCGCTTGGTTGCAGACTTTCAATGTCCTGGAGGCTATTTTCACCACTCTGAGATGGAGGGCAAACCCAATTATGCTCAACGTCACACGAACCATCGGAGAGATCCGCGAAAACCCGTCTTTCCGGAACAAGAAGGAGGCGGACGAGGTCCTGGGCCAGGCTATTCGAGCTATGGGCCCTGAGGCGGTTCTGTCCATTCTCCCATTGAACATCATCAAGCCTGTAAAGGGTCAGAACGGAAGAGCATGGCTGTTCCCGATCCTGCGAGACTACATTAGCAACACAAATCTGGCTCATTTCAAGAGCGAGATGGTGCCTTTGAGTGAAGTCATGTTCCAGAAGGTCTTGGATCATGGGGAAGCTGAAAAGACTATGGAGATCAAAATCTACGAGACGCTGGTGCAGCAAATCTGGTCTACTCTGCCGGGTTACTGCGACCTGCCGCTCGACCTGATGGAATCTTTCGACCAAGCTATGGCTGAAATTTTGGCCAACCTTCTCTACAAGCAAGTCGACTTGAGACTGGATATCTGCAGAGGTTTGAGGACTTTGATTGAATCCAATCAAGCCATTGCAAACATCGAGGAGGAGGAAGAGGATCTCCTCCTACAGAGCCGGGTAACCAAGGATGCCGCTCGGAAGAACTTGGCGTATCTGGGCCAGTTTGCTGGTAACATGCTTGCTGTTCTCTTTAACGTGTATACCCAGACTTTGCCCCAGAGCCGAGGCCCCATTCTGCAGACTGTAAATGCTTTCCTCAGCATCACGCCAAACCAGGAGCTTATGGACACGTTCGACCGTGTCAGCAAGATGCTTGCTGGGGAACTCCAGAATGCACCGGCCGCTGAAAAGCCCGCTCAGGGACAAAAGTCAAAGGATCACATGCCGTCCACTGCACAGACCCTCATGGATCTTGTCATTACCATTTCGGCATATCTCCCACGAGAGAGCTTCGCTACTTTGTTTGAGATTGCTTCTGTAATTATCAACAAGGAGGAGGAGCCTCAGCTGCAGAAGAAGGCGTACAAGCTGATACCACGACTGGCCACTTCCGAGCTTGGTAAGGCCGCTTTGCAGGAGCGAAATGCTGAGCTGCAGACCCTGATCCTCTCCAGCTCGGAGAAGGTCTCTGCTCCGGCTAGACGCGAGAGAATCGCTGCTATTACTGCATTGTTGCCCTTTGTCCCCGACAACTGCCTTCACTTCATCCCGTCTGTTCTGAGCGAGATTGTCATCTGCTGCAAGGAGAACAACGAACGAGCCCGTGAAAGCGCATACGACCTCCTGGTTCAGATGGGACACAAGATGGCGGCTGCCAACGGTGCTGTCATCGACAACAGCAAGGTGCCTCACATGCCAAGCGATGCCCCAGCTGCCACTGCCAATATCGAAGAGTTCTTCACCATGGTGAGCGCTGGTCTTGCCGGAAGCACCCCCCACATGATTTCTGCGTCAGTCACCGCCATCAGCCGCCTCCTCTACGAGTTCCGATCATCTCTCAGCGACCAGACTCTGTCTGACCTGGTGCAAACGATGGATCTCTTCTTGACTTCAAATAACCGAGAAATTGTCAAGAGCTGCCTTGGCTTCGTCAAGGTCTGTGTCATCAGCCTACCAGTTGAGCTGATGATGCCACGACTGGACACCCTCGTTCCTAACCTGATTATCTGGAGCAACGAACACAAGGGCCACTTCAAGGCCAAGGTAAAGCACATCTTGGAGCGCATGGTCCGCCGCTTCGGCTTCGACGCCATCAACAAGAGCTGCCCCGAATCCGACAGGAAGTTGCTCGCCAACATCCGCAAGACCAAGGAGAGGGCAAAGAGAAAGAAGGATGCTGCCAAGGGTGCCCACGACGACGACGCTAGTGAAGACGACGAAGAGGACGACGGCAAGCGACAGTATGAGAACGAATACGACCGCGCTCTGTATAGCAGCGACTCGGACGAATCTGAGGGATCAGACGACGAGGGCGCACAAAGACCCAAGAAGAAGGCCCAGAAGGGCGGCAAGACATACATTGTCGAAGACGACGACGAGCCCCTCGACCTTCTCGACAAGAAGGCCCTCGCTAGAATATCATCCACCAAGCCCGTTAAGCTCCGCAAGCCCACAAAGACAAAAGCCAAGACCGATCTCGACGGCAAGCTCATCCTCGGCAAGGACAGCGATGATGAGGGCGCCATGGACGTCGACCAGGCCGGCGGCGCCGAGAACTCGGGCGTGGGCGCCTACGTCGCCGCCATCAAGGGCCGCGACGCTGCCAAGCGCGGTCGCGGCGGCAGACTCAAGTTCTCCAACAAGCGCTCCAAGGACGGCGATGACGGCGACGAGATGGACGAGGACGATGCCGTGGCCGTCAAGAACAGCATCAGCCCCGGCCGGGATCGCGGTGGCAGAGGAGGCCGTGGAAGAGGCGGCCCGATGCATGGAGGCCGAGGAGGCCGTGGCGGCTCTTTCGGCGGCCCTAGGAGCGGAAAGGGCGGCATTGCTGCTGGTCGGAGGGGTCTGGGCACCGAGAAGAGACACGGTCCGGGCTCGGGAGTGGGCAAGGGGCAGAGAAGAGGCCGGAACTAAAGGGGGGTTCTTAAGGAGAGAAGCGTTCTTGCATGAAAGAAATGACGGCATGATTGGGTGAGAATAGCCTTTGTATGCATCTTATGGATACCCACGGGTCATAAAAAGAAGAGAGCTGCTGGACTCACTTTACATGTGAGCGAAATGTGGGTTGCGTGGTTAACTATTAGTTTTTTGTTGTTCTCGAAATAAATACATATTTACTTGTTCTACTTACTATCTGCTCATGCGTCCTTGCTATGTCTTTGACAAAAAGAGGCACAATCACAATCGACATGTTCAATTTCTAAGCACGATAAACTCAACACTCGATTCACCCTTCAATTTCACACCCCTTTCTAACATAGAAGCATCATGTACTCGCACATGTCTTTCCATCATTGATGCTCTTTTCCAAATCATGCTCAACAAAAACAAACAAACAAACAAACAGCCGCCAATGCCTCCCTCCCTCTGGGTATCTAAGAGTGGTGCTTCCACGTGGCCGACTCCGGCAAAAGGAGAGCGTTGGGGGGTATATAAACATGAGTCCAACCAAGCAAAATTCCTCCACTCCATGCTTTTTGCCATGCCATTTTTGAAAGACAAAAAAAAAAAAAAAACGGACAAACGAAACCGTATATGCTTCTAACTCTCGATGTGCTCATCATAATCATCATCATTGGATGCTGCGCAATGCCTGGGCTTGAAAATCGAAGCAGAAAAGATAAAGGAACAAGGGGCGAGCTGACATTGAAACCCGGGGGCTAGGAATGCCACATCAGTCGATAACAATTATGTTTGATGCTGGCTGACCTAGGCCCGGATGCTCTCGTCTAGTTTCATACCGTTCATCTACCCCAGAGGGTCGCGGGGGAAGGGGATGATAAACGGGTTCGGGATGAGGTCGTGGGACCTGTCTGTCACCATATTGTCGTCTGCAACACATGAGTATCAAATCAAAGCAAATTCGAGGCGTATGCTAATCAAGAGTGTCTATAACTTACATGACCCAATAGCCCTCAGGAGGTGGTGCAGCATACTCTCCACTAGGCACTTGCCGGGTTTGTACTCTGTAGTCCGGCTCTTTGGTCAGTGGTTCAAGCCTCGGTGCACCGTAGTAGTCGCGAGGAGGGTAGGGGTGAGTATGGGGTGCAGGAGGTGCACGGGAGCGAGAATCGTATAGAGGATTGACTTCGATTTCTGCAACACCTCGGCGCTCGGCCCTATGCCTCGAATCTTCTTCCCATTGAAAAATCGTGTGTGGCCTGACAGTGGCTTGGACCTCAACCTCTGCCGGTGGCTGAGCAGGGCGGGTAGGTCGTAGTTGAATTCGCGCGCTGCCTTCAGGTCGAGGGTTGACCCTTTCATAGTATCCGCCTCGATCCTCCATAAGGATAGGATTTGAACGCTCTCCAGGGCGGGTTGCGTTTAGAACGATTCTCCTCATCTCCGGAAGCCTGGAAGAAGGAGCTGACACTGGGTTGCCTGATGCCGGATGAGGAAAAGAAGATGCTGGCTGTGCTCCATATGCAGTGGGATGCGGATATGTCTGGCCACGGAAGTCATGCGAATGATTGGATTCTCTACTGGAAATGGCATTGAAATCCATGGCATTTTGCGGTCCATCATAGGTTACCTGCGTCGCTGGGGGGCGGTCCCAAGGATGGATTCCTTCTCCTGGATTTGAAACAAGCCTAGGGGGATGCTGAAAACCTGCCAGTGGTGTGACCGGTGTTGCATAAGAACTTACCGAGACCTGGCTCCTGGGAGGTAGGGTGCGTATGTATGTGGACTGCGCGGCTGGGGATGCCGGCTCAATAGAGCGCACCAACATGTCTGGGAAATGATTGGAAGCCGAAGGAGCCAGCTCGCGAGATGACGTGCTAGTTGAGAAAGGCACAACGGACATTACCTTTTCATGAGAGGGCCGAGCATCTATAGGCGGACCACGGTAGGGTGACGAAGTCAAAGAAGATGATACCTCATACATGGGCCGTTGTATTCCGCGGCTATTCAAACTTGGGGAAGTTCCAGGGGGATGAACCACTGGACTTAGGTCGTCATATGGCCGGATATGGACGTCATAAGAAGGCCCAATAGACCTGGAAGGCTGATATGAGGCGGCATGGCTGATGGCAGTATCCAGAGAGGGCGGCCTAGCCACTGGTGTTTCCACTCGATTACGTCTGATGGCTTCTTCCCAGGCGCGGTATCTTCTGAATCCACGCTGAGCTCTCCTGTCAACTCTGCGACCACGATCAGGGTATTCCAACGCTACCACGTTTGGAGCAGGAGGAGAAAACACTTGGATCGCTTCTCGAACAGAGGACCTAGGAGGGGAGCGATCTGGCTGATACATATGACGGACAGGTTGTGCTGACCGGTACACAGGCATGGGTGTGAGCCTGGCTTGATCAGCATCCTCGTCCGATGTATAATCGGTCGAGTCATCGTCGTCTTCATCGTCATCATCATCCTCGTCGTCATCCTCTGAATCAGAGATGACAACGACCTCACGCAAGATCTCGTCCAGTTGGTCGCGACCAGTTTCTTCATCTCCCCGCCACTTAACGAGGATGTCGAGACACAGAGATTCTACAGTTCGTCGAGCGTTCTGCCAAGTTGTTTCCCTCAACAGTGCATCATACCGCGTATGAGTGTGCCTTATGTGGGCAAGGACTGCCAGCTGGACTCTGCGAGAAAGTGGAATGTCTTCTGAGAAGCCGACAGGATGCTCAGATCGATTAGTTGATCCCTAAGGAAGATATTATTGTTCGCCATTTGGTCTTTTTGTGTTACGGGGAAAGGTGGGGAGAGAAAGGAGAAAATACAAACCCGAGTGAAGGAGTGCTCGATAATCATCTGACGGTCAGTATTGGGAATCCGTGGAAACAGGTCCCTAATGGCGGCATCAACTTGAGCATGATAGGCGCTCTGGGATTCAGGAATAGGCTCAGGGCCGGCGCCTGTTACTGCACCGGCAAGGTGAGGCATATCATCGATGCTTGCCTTGGCTTCCTCAACAATGACTTGCCTGATATGATGGCCAATTCGATGCACTTGGTTGGCAAGGCTGCTTTCATCAAGACCTTTTGCATTCTGAGAAGCCAAATATTAGATTAGATAATGTTGCATCACGCGTACGACGGGAGTAAACACACGGAAACAATAAATATCATGGCATCTTTTTCGCGGGATATTTCTTTGCAGGCTGCGGTAAGCTGGGGGTTGCCGATGGGGACAAACTCGAACCCTGGTGGCGGGGTTTTTTCCGTCGTGATCTGAGATTGTGAGTATATTTCCACCTCGCGACAGACATACGGGGAGCGTATATGCTTTGTACCTGATACTCGAGCTTCTTCTTCTTTTCTTTATTCTGAACCAGCTCGAAGTATGAGTGATGCTTTGACATTGGCAGCGACGGTTTTGCCACAAAATTCTCATGTCGAGGCGAATAGGGATTGCGATACTGCGATCTTTGAGTTCTCTTGTGCCGCTCTTTGGGCCCAGCGGCGGCTCCTGGGACTAAGCCTCGTCGTGCTCTTCCCATGTTGAGTTTCAGTGGCTATCATACAGTATCATAACGCGATGTCTTCCAGGAACAGAGGCAGTGTTAGCATAGCAAAGAGGCACAGTTCACCGGCTTAGCACGCGCTCAAGGTTGCATCAATGAGCTGCTGAGATCTTGCATCAACCCTCGCTCAACTGGGCGGTTACAGCACCAAGAGGGGTCGCCTGGCTCAGGGGAACGCAGCACGAGCAGCAAACAAATCAAAACGTAAAACAGTTGCGTGGGTCCGGAGCGACTGAACAAAGGGAGCCTTGACGCCCGTTATCGTCGCTTCGAGTTGCAGGCCGACAGCTCCCGATACCAGCGGACGGCGAGGCGGGCCGTGGCAACACAGAAACAGCCGCTTTCAGAGGCTCTGCCTGAAGCTGGTTGGGCTTTGACTGATCAGGTGCTGAAGCCAGATGCGTGACCATCTGGAAGTTTTGACGCGAGATTCTCTCATGATGTTGGGCAGCTTGATGCTTTTTATTACATAATCACGTGGGAGCTGGGAGAATATTGTTCCCTTTCCGATATGTGTTCGCATGTGATGTGCACATGTCATGTCCTGTCAGGAAAACAGAAAGCAGGGAGCAAGAAGCAGAGCCAAGGGCCAAGACTGGTGATTTTTATTGTTCCATTGCTTGGCAATCTGTTATATCAATTCGATTATGTGGAATACACCACATCCACCCGGAGACAAGAGACGGATGGCGGAGATACAATAAACCGCCGTTGATGTGTCCATGTCCGGTCTCCGTCTATCTATTTCCTAAATAGGATAGCGATTCAAGCACCCACATCTTGACAACGGCGGACATGTGGAATTATGTCAGAGACTAGAGATTGACCGACGATCCGCGCGCCATTCGGGTTTGGCACAGCCACGAAACAGCCAGTCAAATAATGATTGGATACTCTAGATGAATTGGATGAATACTGAACTTACTGTCGAAAGATGAACGCTACTAGACGTCAAGATGCTCTTGGCGAGGCGTCCAAGCAGTGCTGGGTGGCAAGTGGGTATCAAGACTCGACCAGAAATGGCTGTCAGTTGAGATCAACACCACTCCGGGGCTGCTGGTGGAACCATTCAATATTCCAGAAAAGACGAACTGAATCGCCAAAAAGGTACATGTCGCATAGTCAAAAATAGAAACATCACACGTGTTGTGTTGCATAGCCTTGGGAGCTTTAGACAGTTTCAGCAGGGCTGGTGGGCGTCGTGATTGAAACAAGGCGAGAAAGGCAAGTGGCCAGGCATTTCCTCAGATTCGACCAATGCTTCTCGAAAACTTGTCGCCTTCATACGAGGTACTCCGCCCAGTGAGGATTTCAGGAGCAGCTTCAAAGCCGACTTAGCCGCTGCCCGGTGATATGGTCCTGCGCACCGGCAAGGCGGCAAAGTAATCACAAAGGCCAAGAAAAGGAGGGTTCAGACGGTGGGCAGGATAACTACTACCAGTACGAGTAGGGAGTAGTGATGGTGCTTGGTTCGGCTTAGATGCTGCTGTTACGTTGGCAAGGACCTAAGCCACAGCAATCCTGAAGCTGAGCGGTGGGAGAAATTGCATTGACTCGGACCAAGCCTTGGCGGTAGATGCGAGTATGTACTTGGTACTCGTACATGCCGTTTTGAGAGTGACGAGATGTTGCTATCGAATTAGTGACCTTGGAACTGAAGACATGGATGGATTCAGCAATCTCACGACAAAAGAAAGTACGGCGTCAAGGAGTGTTGGGTAGATCAATGTTTCGCAACCACGGCAATGCAATGGCCACCTTGACCTTGGCTCGCTGTCAACAAACCAACAGGCAATGCTCGACAGGAGTTCGGGTCCGCAGGATGAAATACGCTTGTTGTGAGCCAATCAAGACAAACAGCGATACGCCTCGCAAGGGCTTGATTGAGCCAACGAGATTCTCTGCTGAAACACTGCCACCGCCAATCTCCATCTGCTGCTTGCAAGCGAGAGCGAGAGCAGCGTCACGTGATTAGGAATGGTGACTCAGCAGCTCGGAGACCGAGGAGCCCATCCATCCATCAGGATTGAAGCTCTGATGCTTTGGACAAGATGGAATGGTGTGCACAGCCACCACTTGTGGGGAGACGGTCTCGCGAGCAGTGGGAGGGACTTGAAGGGTACATGAACTAGTGGGAGAGTTTCGTGGGCATATTGAGGCAAAATGAAGTACCGGCAAAGTAGCGCCTATGGAGGAATGATTACGAACCGTCGGGCTGTTGAGCAACCCGAAGGAGCGGAACGAATCTTGTTTGCTGATGATCAGGTCCTAAAAGTCAAACTATCGACGCCCAGTCCAAAGCGAAGGCGAGCGAACTGGCTCAAGTGCCTTTTTGTTGTTTTGAGCCAACGGAGCCGGAGCCGGAGCAATCAATAGCTGGCCATCGTAGAAGCTATCCGGCAGCAATCAGCACCAGCTGTATATTGGCCACGTCCGTGGTGGCATCAATTCCCTTGGAAGCGCTTATCTTGTATATCTCTCGATAGTACAGTAGCATCCATCACCATGCTCCATCTCGTCGATGTTATGCTGTGCTGTACAGTAGATAGTCGCTGGGAACTGGCTGGACTCGCGGCCTGCGTCGTCGGTTTGGTCGTCAGCCCTGCGAATCTCCGAGCCTGTGTGCTGGCCTTTCGGTTGGCGCACCCGGCCGGAGCTTGCTTCAGGATTTAACGAGAGCGAGCAGAGCAAGCAGAGCGGCTGTGAGTGGACACTCGGCCAGGCAGGCGTCGTCATCCCTCAGGCAATGGACAAGCAAAACGCAGAGGCTGCAAAAGATCCATCCCGCACTTGAGCCAAAGAGGCCAAAGGCTGCGCCTAGTGGTTGCGCCTTAGTGGACGCTCACTGCATTAAATGCCCAGGGAAAAAAGGCTTACGCGTCCACTGCCCCGTTTTGTGCGTGCACCCCCGCCGCACCCCTGCAAGGTCCTACACCTCTGCCAGACGCCAAGGGGCCTCCGCGCAGCCCCTAGAGCGCACCTTTGGCAGTAATCCAGGTGCCTGCTCAGGTGTTTAGCGGTCCTGTAGTGCCAGTAGTGGCCACGGCCCCCCGTTTGGCTTCAGGCCCAGCCGCTAACAGTCCGTCAACCATAATATCGCCGCTCCCCCAAAACCGGTCGTCGTCACCTTTATCCTGCACTCAAACCTGTATTCATCAATACATCCTTAATTCTAAGGTTTTTATTATTCTGCGACTTTGTGAACCATCAAACACAAAGCCGTTCATTGCATCTGGATTATCGTGACGCATCAGACCGACTCGAATCAATCCACGACCTCGCCTTTCGCCGGCAGATCCGCCATCATGACGGACAACAATAACGTCGACTTGGACGCGCTGCTCGATCTATCAGAGTACGATGCCATCCCCAGCTATGGCTCGCCGTCCATGTCTCCTTCGTCTTCATCAAAGCCAATCTTCGCCAGCCCCGTCAGCGCCGCCGTGACGACGCCCAGCATGATGACGACGCCCAGCCTGAGCGGCCCGAGTCACAACTATGACATGTACCGCCAGCAGACTGGCTTTGTGCCCGGAGCCATCGCCAACACAATGGCCGTCAACGAGTCGAGCAACGCGGGCTACCAGGATTTCGGAAGCCTCGACTTCCTGACCAGCTTCACTCCCGAGAACGAAGTGTTCGACTTCAACACCTCGCCCTCGCAGACCACCATTGGACCGACCGAGGCCATGGACTTTGAGTCGCCCGCCGATTCCCAACTCTTCTCGACCATCAACCCCAGCAGCATCGAGCAGGAGAACATCGTTTCGCCAGTCCCTACAAACCATTCAGGCAGCGTTGGCCGTCTGTGGCCCGGTGCGCACTCTCAGGCTGCCATGGCCAAGGCTCATGCCCAACAGAGGCAGCAGCAGCACATCATGCAGCAGCAACAGGCTCAGCGCCAGCCCGCTCAGTCAAAGCCTCGTGGCAAGCTGTCGCCTCACAACGACCCCATTGTCGAGCAGAAGATTACTCAGCTTCTCAACTCGATGCGGGCTAAGCCTGCTCCTCCGCCATCCGACAGCCCGACTCCTACCACCAACCTGAGCAGGTCTAAGAAGGATGAAGAGGAAATGGATGAGGACGAACGTCTTTTGGCCAGTGAGGAGGGCAAGAAGCTCAGCAGCAAAGAGCGGAGACAGCTGCGCAACAAGGTCTCCGCCCGTGCATTCCGATCAAGAAGAAAGGGTAAGATATTACATGAATATCATCGCAAAGCATTTTCACTAACCAGTCACAGAATACATCACCCAGCTCGAGTCTGAGGTCTCCGGTAAAGTCACCGAGAACAATGATCTGCGTGCTCAGAACCGCGCTCTTGTCGAGGAGAACAAGCGCCTGTCTGCTCTCACTCGCATGCTCCTCTCTTCTCCCTCATTCTCCAACTTCTTGGATCACCTCAGCTCAAACCCCTCCGTGGCTGCCCAGCCCCAGGTCAAGCCTGAGCCTCAGCAGTCGCCAGAGCAGCGATCCGTCAAGGATGTGAACCCTTATGGCGCTCAGCCCTCTCAGCAACAGATTGGCATGGCTATGATCCCTGAGCAGAGCATGGACTATTCCATGTTTAACCTCGACGGCTTCAACTTCCAGCCCCAGGTTTTCGTTGTGGAGACTTCCGAGGTGCCTTCTCCTATCGAGTCTAGCATCCTTTCTGGCAAGACATCCAGCTTCGTCGAGCAGACTTTCCAGTCTGATGACGAGAAGGTTGAGGTTCCTGTCATCAAGCGACCCATCGAGCAGGCTCCCGTTGTCCAGACCGAGGCTGCGCCAGTCGATGAGGAGTTTGAGGCAGACCCCGAGTTCGCCCTCTTCCACGCCGAGCCTACATCGTCCCGCCCTGAGTCCCAAGCCCTTGACACTGACAGCCTTACACACGTCGACATCTTCGGTGGCATTGAGCCCGAGAAGATGTTGTCCAGAATCGAGCTTGTCGATGCCACCGAAGAGGAAGTCAGTGCCGCATTTGCCATGGCCCGAGTACAAAGTATAAGTGCCAGCATAGAGTCTCTAGTCTCAAGGCTAGAGATCTTGACCATGGACCTTTAAAGTCTAAAAAAGAATACTTTTTGCAACGAACCATTCTTAATTAGCGGCTTGTTTCTATCCACCTATTCCAGGGCTCATATGTACACAAACTTGGACCAGGCAACGGCGACGGAGTTTTTTTATCTTTTTGGGAATCAATTGGGACACACAATGGGACGGGTCACAAATATCGACGGTTAGCTTTACTCGCTTCTTTTTTTCAATTTTCTTTTGTCAACATTTTAGCTAGGGGTGCGACATAATCTGTCCCCGACTTCACTCACGAGCTGGCCGGATAGGGTTGGCGGCCTTACTTTTCATGTTTGGATTTGTATAGATAGACGAGAGGCAAAGTTTTGCTCGGCCAGAGGCGGAGTGGATATGAAATGCCAAAAAAATATTTCATGATGTACTTTGAATTCCTGACCATTTGAGACGTGACTTGTATGTGTGTGAGGTTTTGTAATTGTATAATATGTGTAAAGCTAACATGAACTGTGAGAGTAAGTCATATCCTACGATGATTCTGAACAGCAATTGAATCGCAGAGAAGAATAAGATTACTGATGGGAGCGAGAGTACAGAGGGGTTGCGATCTGTCTAGTGATGTGTGAAAGCTGTAAGGGCCATGTTTGAGGATAGATAGCCATTTACATTTACAACACGACACAACTAGGTACACTTGATCACTGAATACTACCTATATCATGGCAAAGAGGATGTATAATGTACATGGTTGCAGAGATTCATCCTTAGTGGTGAATATAGTGTGGAATTATCGAGTGTATTAGTTAGATGGTGTTTATACAAGGGCATACATACTCCTAGCCCACGTCCATCACAGATTCAACCCCCTTTGCTGTGTCCTCCCCCTATCGTATCGAAAACACCTCCTCCTTTGCCCCCTCCACATCCCATCCCTCCCCATCCATCAACCCATGCACATAGCACTCCCCGACGAGCCTCCATCCACTGCCACCATCGCCGTCATTCACCCCGCGCAGCAAAAAGGGCGTCTTTCCGCCGCGCAGCACGGCCACGACGTCGCCCTCCTGCAGGGCGTCGGGCCCGAGGACGAAGTAGCCGTTGCGGGTGACGGCGAAGCGGCGGTAGCGGGTGATGAGGGTGGCTTCGTGGCTCCATTTGAAGGGGTCGCCGGTGAGGGAGAGGGCGTGGATGGCGGGGGAGATGGGGGTGTGTGAGGAGGAGGAGGAGGCCAGGGAGTTTGCTCTCTCGAAGAAGTTGGACATTACATTCTTATTGTTGTTATTGCTGTTAGCGGTGTTGTTGCTGCTTTCTGAGCGTTGGGAAGAGGGAAAAGAAGGAAACGTTTGTGAAGGCGATAAAGAGGAAGATGAAGACGCGGGAAGTGCGTAGCGGACGAGGTATGCTGCTCCGCTGGCGAGCCATTCGTCCGGGGAGATGGACGAGTAAGGGCGCGAGCGGTCCATGCCGGTGCAGGCGTTGGTGAGCGTCTGGATGAGGGCGAAGAAGGCGGACTTGTGGTGATCGTGCGAGGTCGTAGGAAGAGACGGGGACGGGGATGGAGATGAGGAAGGGTCCTTGAGAAAGGGCGGGTATATGCGTGAGAGGGTAAAGGTTTGGTAGCCGCAAATTTGCTTCCAGAGGACTTCCATGGGGTGTGTGCGAGAGCCGGATTGTTCGCTTTGGCTGTTTCGTCGTTGGTGAGAGTTGCGGCCGCGGTGGTAGTTGCTGGTGTTATTGCTTCCTCTTGTGGTATTCTTGCCTCCCCTTGGGGTATTGCTGCTACTGCTAGGCGAGCGAGTATCACTACTTCGATCCCGGGATTGAGGCTGAGGAGAACCATGGTGGTCATTGGCTTGAATGTTCTCCCTTGGACGAGGCTGCTTCCACCACTTCTTCTTCGGCCCGTGATCGTCCTGCCTCACCTGAAACGCCGTCCCGTAAATCGTCCACGAATGCCTCTCCACAACATCGACCCTGACACCACGAGCATGCAGGATCCGTTTATCTTCATCAATGGTGAGATCCGGCCTGGTATCCTTCGACGCCCGATGCGGCACCGCAGGCGACCCAAGAATATGCATCGGCAAGTCTCTCCAGTCGGGAACCCACGATGGCAAATCCACTTCCTGCTCGTTCCCCGGTGCTCGCCTCTTCCCATTGGGCCGGCTGTGATGCGTCGCAGCCAACATGACGAGATCGTTGGCTCCGCGAAGGCCTCTCACTGCAACGTCAAAATACACTTCCTCGATGCTCTTGGAGTAGTCCACCACGAGGCTCTGAAGCTCCTCGCTGCCCTTGCCGAGGGAAAAGTGGCCCAGGAAGGCGTATACGTGGTCTCGAGGGTCTTGTGCGAGGAGGTGTCTTGCGCGATGAAGCTCGTACGCAAAGTTGCCTCTGTTGTGGAACTGGTCGTATTCCACGTCTGGCTCGACGAAACGTTTGTGAAGGTAGCGGATGTTGGAGGTGCCTATGAAGAAGCGCGTGCGTAGGTGGTGGTATCTCTCGTTGAGGATCCCGGCGACAAAGGAGAGCATGTCCCAGTCCATCTCAGTGTCTCCCCAGTATAGAGTCGCCGTTGCGGTGGTTCCGATCTCTTGGACAATCCATATTCGGTGGAACTTGAGGCTTAATGTCAGAAGTTGATCTCACTCCAGGTGATCAAAAGCGAGTTATCTCGTCAATAATCGAGACGTCTTGGGGCAACAGGGGGATCATATACTTACCCAAGGCAGCTTGGTCAGCTTTGATAGAGGTTTCCAACGCTCCGGGCTCTGCATCACCAGATTCTCCTCATGATCAACTTTGAACTTCTCATGAGCCTTGTCATCTTTAAACACACCGTCCAGATAATGCACCATCCGCACCGCATCCGCAGCAACACCGTCTACATCCCGCCCCAGCCACACAAGCACCTTGCTAGCATTCTTATACACTGCATTCATGAGCTTCACCTGCTGGCTTCGTTCCGCAATGTCGTCTTGGTTGATACATATTTGATCCGCCCACAGTCGCCGAGGCCGATTCGGCAATCGAACCCTCACCAACGCATCGCGAATGCTCTGCGTCAGAGGCAAGATGGCGCCATCGCATAAGAGCTCAAAGAGGCGATCACTGGTTCCCCACACGTACGAGATGGCTTCATAAGGGGGAAGCTGTGCAATGTCCGCCGGATCGAGGCTCCCGAATTCGAGGCTCCCGACTAAAGGGTCAGAACCTGACCCTGGCTGAAGAGTGAGGAACCGAACGCACTTGTTTTCTCCAAGGGGCTTATACACGTATCGTCTCCCTTCTGGGATGCTTAGGGACTGTTTGGGACGATGAGACAGCGGCTGGTGCTGATCCATGAACGACTCCTTGGGTCTGAAGCCACGACGCTTGACGGGCTTCTTTCTGTGACTCAAGAAGAGAGACTCTAGGCGGAAGCTTGATGCGCGCAGACGCAAGCTGGACAGGGCTTTGAATATTTCACAATCACGGCCCGGGATGTGTCTGAGAGTTGGGTTTATGCTGCGCCAAGGATGCAATACAAATGGGACGAACCGACGACGAGCCCCGGCATATCGATGAAGACGCATATTTTGAATTCCTAAGCTATGATGCGACAAGAGACCGTTGTTGGATCAGTAGTGTGGCGCTATGTATCAAGGTGGAGAGCACCTCTGTCCAACAGCAGCTACTGCTGCATGTCATGCCGCTTGACTCATCTCATCCCAGCGCGCTGATCCTGCCTGTGATGTCTGGCTTATACTTCAATTTCTGCTTCTGACGCTTTTGCTGACACGTCAAGCTGATAAATCATAAGAGGGCACATGGGGAGGGATGCGTGAAATGCTGTCATGTACGGCACACGTAGCCAAAGTGACTTTAATAGTAAGAGAAGAAGAGAAATAAGACTCCACCACCACTTGACCCAGTTGGAGGATTTACCTTGGTAATTCTCCCATCGTCCGGCAACATGAACAAGTAAATACAGCACAAAGCGGGATATCATATACCAAATCTCTCAACTTTTCATCTCGCAGCACTAGACGCTCTCGCGGATTTTCACGGGCTGGGCTGCCATTATGCTCATGTCGTCCTCGTCGTCAAAATGCCGTTGATCAAACGTGTCATTTCCCGGACTCGTCGTCGCTATGCCGGCAGATCCAGTCGGCGGCTGGCCTGATCCGTTTCTTAATTCCCAGCTACCCATCCTCTCGTGCGCCATCCCACGCTTCGTGACCGCAACGTCAACATCACTCGCCTTCTTATCTGTTCCTTTGAAGCCACCAGGTGAGCCGCTCCGCAAGTTGGATTTTGCGCGTCGTTCAAAAGTATACACTCCGCAGAAATAGAGGGCGAGTGCAGCGAGACCAGTCACAGCCAACGTCACCATGGCGCCAATAACACCGGCGACAGGGGCACTGACGGACGAACTCTTGGATGTAGAAGAAGAGTCGGAAGAAGATGAAGACTCTGAGGTGCACCATGGTGCGTATAGTGCCCGGCAAGTGCTGCACCACTGTAAAGAGTCTTGAGAGACACGTTGAAGCTGGCCCAGGAGTTCCGTGAAAGGTATAACTAGACTATCAGAGCTATCTGAAGACAGTGGATAGGCTTTAAATGGTTCACCAACATCGGCATTAGCTCGATATGTGAATCGAACCATGAATTCTTGAGCGTATGGTAAGGCGGCGCTGTCTCCCGAATCTTGGCCGATCAATTCAATGATCATGGCCGAACCAGGGTCTGGGAGGGTAGAGAATGGTCCAGAAAGCAGGTTATTTGTGTTGTAGAGCCCCATGAGCGAAAAGAAGGCCAATATGGGCTCAAAGGAGCCAAACATTAGTGTAAGTTTGCTACCAGGGGCTCCCAAGGTGGCGGCACTGAGCGAACTTGCGATTTGCATAGCAAGAGTCTGACCAGCGATGGTGGTGATATTGTTGTAAGTCCAGTTTGGGATGGCACTCAGGCTGTCTCCGTTCTTGGCCCGCTCCAGGTCAAAGGCGTTTTTTCTGAGTACGCCAATAGTGGTGTTGGCGAATCCCAAGCCA